TGATTCCTGACATGCAATACCCTGGTGTCTACAAACTAAATTGTGTCTGCGGTAGCAGTTACATTGGGGAAACGAAACGACATGTCTCGGACCGTGTTCGCGAACATAAGGCAGATTTGAAACACGGCAGAACCAATACCTCTGCCATGGCTGATCAATGCTTGAACGCGGTGGGCTCACACGACATTTTTTTTCCTAGACAAAGGTACTCTGCAAACCTTTGGGCTACCATCAAAGATTTGTTCATGAAGCCATTCAGATATATAAACACGGACATAACTTCAAACGAGAAGATGGGTACAAATTGAGCAATCATTGGAAGGACGTTATTTACTAGGTAAAATCTTAACTGGTTGTTGATGTTTCCATCCTACCTGTCATTGTCAGCAGTTATTTCCGACTCTCTGAGTTACATTACCAATTAACATTACCAAGTTAAATGTCTTTACATTAACGGGCTAAATATCTCACGAACAAAGCCAAGGTTGACCCTTTCCCTCGATGTGGCGGTGGCTGACTACAACTGGCTGTGATGTTGTGTGTGTCTCTCTCTCTCTGTGTCTCTTTGTGTGTGTGTCTCTCGGTTTGTGTGTGTATCTCTCTGTGTGTCTCCCTATATCTCTCTTGTGTCTCTGTGTGTATATGTGTTTCTCTCTCTGTGTCACTTTGTGTGTTTGTCTCTCTGTGTGTGGGTATGTCTTTCTGTGTGTGTCTCTCTCTCTGGGTGTGTCCCTCTGTGTGTGTCTCTGTGTGTATATCTAGGTGTGTCTCTCTCTGTGTGTTGGTGTGCCTCTCAGTGTGTGTCTCTCTCTCTTTCCCTCGATGTGTTGTTGTCCCCCGTTTGTTTCCCTCGTTGTCTAACGAGCTGGATGTCTCACGAGCACAGCCACCGTTGCGTTGGTTTGTTTACATTGACATGCTATTCTCTCACAAAACAATGGCCACCTCCTCAGCTCTCGCATCAACTACACCCCCCCCCCCCATCTCGGTTCCCATCTTTGGATTCCCCACTCGCTGAGGCACAATCTCGAGCCCCCACCCTCATGCCCGATGCGGCAACCCCCCCCCCTTCCCCCCTCTCGGTTCTCTAGATATCAGGACTTGTTATAGATCAAGACTTGTTCTAGATCAGGACTTGTTATAGATCACGACTTGTTCTATATATCAGGACTTGTTATAGATCAGGACTTGTTCTATAGATCAGGACTTGTTATAGATCAGGACTTGTTCTATATATCAGGACTTGTTATAGATCACGACGTGTTATAGATCAGGACTTGTTATAGATCACGACTTGTTATAGATCACGACTTGTTATAGATCAGGACTTGTTATAGATCAGGATTTGTTATAGGACTTGTTATAGATCACGACGTGTTATAGATCAGGACTTGTTATAGATCACGACTTGTTATAGATCACGACTTGTTATAGATCGGGACTTGTTATAGATCGGGACTTGTTATAGATCAGGACTTGTTATAGATCACGAGTTGTTCTATAGATCACAAGTTCTATAGATCAGGACTTGTTATAGATCAGGACTTGTTCTATATATCAGGACTTGTTATAGATCACGACTTGTTATAGATCAAGACTTGTTATAGATCAGGATTTGTTCTGTATATCAGGATTTGTTCTATATATCAGGACTTGTTCTATATATCAGGACTTGTTCTATATATCAGGACTTGTTATATATCAGGACTTGTTATAGATCAGGACTTGGTATATATCAGGACTTGTTATAGATCAGGACTTGTTATAGATCAGGACTTGTTCTATATATCAGAACTTGTTATAGATCATGACTTGTTATAGATCAGGATTTGTTATAGATCAGGACTTGTTATAGATCACGACGTGTTATAGATCAGGACTTGTTATAGATCAGGACTTGTTATAGATCACGACGTGTTATAGATCAGGATTTGTTATAGATCAGGACTTGTTATAGATCAGGACTTGTTATAGATCAGGACTTGTTATAGATCAGGACTTGGTATATATCAGGACTTGTTATAGATCAGGACTTGTTATAGATCAGGACTTGTTCTATATATCAGAACTTGTTATAGATCACGACGTGTTATAGATCAGGATTTGTTATAGATCAGGACTTGTTATAGATCAGGACTTGTTATAGATCACGACTTGGTATAGATCAGGACTTGTTATAGATCACGACTTGTTATATATCAGGACTTGTTATAGATCATGACGTGTTATAGATCAGGACTTGTTCTATATATCAGGACTTGTTATAGATCAGGACTTGTTATAGATCACGACGTGTTATAGATCAGGATTTGTTATAGATCAGGACTTGTTATAGATCAGGACTTGTTATAGATCAGGACTTGTTATAGATCAGGACTTGGTATATATCAGGACTTGTTATAGATCAGGACTTGTTATAGATCAGGACTTGTTCTATATATCAGAACTTGTTATAGATCACGACTTGTTATAGATCAGGACTTGTTATAGATCACGACGTGTTATAGATCAGGATTTGTTATAGATCAGGACTTGTTATAGATCAGGACTTGTTATAGATCACGACTTGGTATAGATCAGGACTTGTTATAGATCACGACTTGTTATATATCAGGACTTGTTATAGATCACGACGTGTTATAGATCAGGACTTGTTCTATATATCAGGACTTGTTATAGATCAGGACTTGTTATAGATCACGACGTGTTATAGATCAGGATTTGTTATAGATCAGGACTTGTTATAGATCACGACGTGTTATAGATCAGGATTTGTTATAGATCACGACTTGTTATAGATCAGGACTTGTTATAGATCACGACTTGTTTCAGCAGCCGATTTCTCTCTCCCACCTGAAGACGATTGCTTGTGTGCCATCGAAACGTCATGATCTATTATTTTTTTTACCTACGTGACTTGACCGAAATAACCAATGAGATGTTTTTGTTTTTTTGTTTACTTGTTACACGGATGTTGTTTACTTCGTGGGTGGCTATTATATATAACAATTCATTTGGATTATGAGACCTCCTTTGCCAGTAACAAGATATAGTAATAGGTTTTACCCTTTTGAGTTGTACGTCTTTTGTTGTCTTCTAGTTCAACACCAGTGGAGACTAGGCTCTAAGAAAAGCCGTCTCGGGTGTGGACCAATCAAATTCAAGGACAGTGCATATCATTATCAGAGTTGTCTCTTTTTGTTTGCATTTTGACTGCTTGTGTTGTGGTTATTGCAAACATGATCCCTTGTATAAAGGTGTCAGGTTTTGTGCCAGTTAAAAGGGTAAAACATTACTAATTAATTTGGAGTTACATGTGTATTACAGTATTAGTATGTATCACTCGTTCATAAAGCCTGTCTTCGCCAGGCAAAAGTTTTCAATAAATATAATAATTAACCTGATATTATTTCAGATTTTTATCTACGATCAGACACGAACTAGTCCAAAAATGTGTATTATTCGGCTCAATTTAAAGATTCCGTTTTTTTATTCGAAAGAACAAAAAATAGCTTAATACTCTGAGGGGAAGTTCCTATCTTGTACCATTTTGGAATTATTCAGGTTTGAATCTGAAATATCGAAAAAACAATAAAAGATAGAACAAATAGCCAGAAAAAACAATGGTCCTCGCTTTAATTTTATTCGCCGTTTAACGCTCTATCAAACGAAACAATCCAGCAATCTGAAATTTTGAACGGTTTCTGAATGACACAAACAAACATATTTAGGGGTCGTCCATAAATGACGTCACGCAATTTTGGACGATTTTTGACCCCCCCCCCCCCTTGTCACACGGCGTCACAAAAAGTCAGACCCCCCCTAAAATATGACGTCACAAAGCTCTGCCCCCCCCCCCAAAAATATATATATAAAACATACTTCAAATCGCTTTAAACTATTGTCATTGCAGTGCGTATTTAATATGCCGCTGCACTCTGATGTTGTAGTAGAAAACATTTCGTAAAAAGTATATTTAATTAAGTAGAACGTGTTGTCTATATTTAAAGTTGCGCATATTGATGTGACGTCACATTTCTCAACCCCCCCCCCCTCGTCACACAGCGTCATAAATATCTGACCCCCCCCCCCGGTGCGTGACGTCATTTACGGACGGCTCCTTATGGGGCACTTCAAAATACAGATTTGGGAGGCCTTAAAATGAAAAATTTCGAATTTTTATTTTTACCGTTTTTGTGACCTAAAAGCTACATAATGTACCACATTTCAGCTTTATATGTTGTCGGGAAGTACCGTAGAGGTTTTTGAGACGTACACATTAAGAGGGGGGAATTCCTTGCATGATTCAGCTTTAACGATACATCCTTGACTTTAGTCAGACAACACAACAGTTGCGTCTAATTCCCCAAACGATTGGACAATGACTGTGTGTGTCTGCTCATGCAAGTGTGGCGGTCTTCCCCCCTTCACTGGTTGGCGGAGCTGAGCTGGAAATTCCGCATTCCTGTGCCTCCCCGTGTGTAAACGTTAACATGTCGTTTCGGCCACTTTAGTTTTTCAGGGCACATCCTCAAATGTCATAATCTAACAGGTCACCATCTTACAAAGATTCTCCGTGTACAGTATATAGCCTTAACAGACTGTAGGGGCAAGTGCCGGCAGCGAGCACCTATGAAGGCCGGCACGGCACACGAGGGCGTGGGTGGCCAGCACCACGCTCGGCCGCCTTTGTCTCCCCAGTGGAGATGTTTACACACCGCACCAGCTACTCATTAAGACTGAGTCTACCTAGGGAAGGCCCAGGACCGGTTCAGATCATTGTCAAAGGTGTTGGCCGTGAGCGGAAATCGAACTCCAATAGTCACAGCCCCTACGGACTAAAGTCCGATAGTCTCACAAGTTATCCAAGGCACCACGCTACTTACATATGCTACGCTTTATAGGCATAGCAGCGATGAGCAAAACGAGAGCGCGCACGTGATTGGCTGCTCATCCGCCCCTCGGCGTTTTTCCCACCAATGGGAGGCCGTGAGACGGAAGGGGCCGCCCGGGCGCCGCCTATGGAGGGTGCGGAATGCAAAGAGCGGCGCTCAGTCGTGAAACAGAAACCTCCTCGTTGTGCGCTCTATGTGTGGTCGTGGTGGCGACGAGGCGAAGGATCGTCTCTTGCCTTTGTGGACGACGACCAGCGGACTCACGTAAGTAAGCGGCAACGCTAAACGCGAGGGAGTCACGTTAGGGAAGAGTGCCGCGACTGCCGCTGTTGGGAGGTGGAAATGATTCCGCATTGTGGCCTAGCACCGCGAGTTGCTCACCCACCTAGGATGGATGACCGCGCCATGTCTGCTCGGCTTGGCCTGGGCGCCCGGACCGGTCCCCCTCGATGGGCTCCCGACAGATTTTCTTTGTCGTTTTTAATCTGAAGCGTGCTGTGTTTGTTTATGATGACGTCTAGATATATAAATGTGGTTTTCTTTGTTTGTGATAGGATTTGGACTCTTAAGCAGAGCCTGTTGTCTGCTGTGCTATGATGGGACAATGCATTACGGTAGTTAAACTACTTTGTGCAACATGGTACAGTTTGGATTTATCAGCATGGATTTCTAACAGCATATAAAGGCGACCACATCGCAGAGTGATGTGAAAATCGAAGAGACTTGTCCATGTGGAGAGTTTGCCGAGCGATACATTTGAGATGTTGGTGTTTTTGAAAGGTCTTTAGAAATAAACACTGTGCTACAGTCCATACAGTGAACTGACAGGTCACGGTATGGTAGCAGTGCGAATGAAGACACTTGACAGGGAGAGGCAGTTCTAGGCAGAAGAAGCGAGAATGATGACATTCAGCCTGGAGTAAGGGCTAAGCAATAAGGATGGCGAGAGGGAGGAAGGCGATTGCAGACAGTGGTAGCAGCAGTGGAGGAAGTGACCTCCCACCGAGCAAATGTTTGACAGAAGACCTTTGTTGCTGGGGCTAGAGGAGGGTTGGAGTGGCTTTTGTTGCTGGGGCTAGAGGAAGGTTGGAGTGGTCTTTGTTGCTGGGGCTAGAGGAGGGTTGGAGTGGCATTTGTTGCTGGGGCTAGAGGAAGGTTGGAGTGGCCTTTGTTGCTGGGGCTAGATGAGGGTTGGAGTGGCATTTATTGCTGGGGCTAGAGGAAGGTTGGAGTGGCCTTTGTTGCTGGGGCTAGAGGAGGGTTGGAGTGGTCTTTGTTGCTGGGGCTAGAGGAAGGTTGGAGTGGCCTTTGTTGCTGGGGCGAGAGGAAGGTTGGAGTGGTCTTTGTTGCTGGGGCTAGAGGAGGGTTGGAGTCGCCTTGGTTTCAAGGTCCAGTAAGAATACTGTGCACTGTGTAATATTTGCATCAGGTCGTGGTGTACGCGCTGTGTTTACTGCTGCGAAACGAAAGCAGATGTGCAATGTGGAGGCTCAAACGTCAACAATATAATATTTTTTATAGTACACTATTGCAGACGATAATGATAATGCACAGTGCTGTAGAGTGTATAATATATACCATAGTGTTGCTTTCACCCAGCCTCTGTGTGTGTCACAGTCTACTTGAGTAATTAAACTAGGTACACTAGTTTATCTTGCTACAATATTTAAATAAACTACAGTTAGATTTCTAACGATTGGCGGTTGTGCGCTTTATCGGGGTCGGTGTGAGTGAGAGACCTGCTTTGTATGACTATTGACACCGAGCACAGGTTTATGTTGTGTTCTTTCCGGAGCGATCCATAAGCAGTACTACGTTTTACAGTATATATTAATAAAACAAATATGTACAGTAAGGAAGTGATCACGTTTGATTTGTTGGTGTTAAGTGACTTCCTGGTGTAGTTCACTTCCTGGTGCCCGGACTGCTGCTCGCGTTACAATATGACTTGAGATTTTGACTTAAAACTTTCGTGACTGCAGGAATTAATATTCTTGGTGCCAGTGCGCTCACTGAGGTTAAGAACCAGGCCACAGTCTACATTATAGACTGCCAGTACACGCACCCAGCTTAATAACCAGGCTACAGTCTACATTATAGACTGCCAGTACACTCACCCAGCTTAATAACCAGGCTACAGTCTACATTATAGACTGCCAGTACACTCACCAAACTTAATAACCAGGCTACAGTCTACATTATAGACTGGCAGTACACTCACCCAGCTTAATAACCAGGCCACAATCTACATTATAGACTGCCAGTACACGCACCCAGCTTAATAACCAGGCCACAGTCTACATTATAGACTGCCAGTACACGCACCCAGCTTAAGAACCAGGCTACAGTCTACATTATAGACTGCCAGTACACGCACCCAGCTTAATAACCAGGCTACAGTCTACATTATAGACTGCCAGTACACGCACCCAGCTTAATAACCACGCCACAGTATACATTATAGACTGCCAGTACACGCACCCAGCTTAACCAGGCTACAGTCTACATTACAGACTGCCAGTACACTCACCCAGCTTAATAACCAGGCCACAGTCTACATTATAGACTGCCAGTACACGCACCCAGCTTAATAACCAGGCCACAGTCTACATTATAGACTGCCAGTACACGCACCCAGCTTAATAACCAGGCTACAGTCTACATTATAGACTGCCACTACACGCACCCAGCTTAATAACCAGGCTACAGTCTACATTATAGACTGCCACTACACGCACCCAGCTTAATAACCAGGCTACAGTCTACATTATAGACTGCCACTACACGCACCCAGCTTAATAACCAGGCCACAGTCTACATTATAGACTGCCAGTACACGCACCCAGCTTAATAACCAGGCCACAGTCTACATTATAGACTGCCAGTACACGCACCCAGCTTAATAACCAGGCCACAGTCTACATTATAGACTGCCAGTACACGCACCCAGCTTAACCAGGCTACAGTCTACATTACAGACTGCCAGTACACTCACCCAGCTTAATAACCAGGCCACAGTCTACATTATAGACTGCCAGTACACGCACCCAGCTTAATAACCAGGCCACAGTCTACATTATAGACTGCCAGTACACGCACCCAGCTTAATAACCAGGCTACAGTCTACATTATAGACTGCCACTACACGCACCCAGATTAATAACCAGGCTACAGTCTACATTATAGACTGCCAGTACACGCACCCAGCTTAATAACCAGGCTACAGTCTACATTATAGACTGCCAGTATACTCACTTCGATTAAAAACCAAGCTACAATCTACATAATTATTTTTTTATTCACTTTCTTTTTATTTTCTATCTACGTGACTTTACCGAAAGAACCAAGAATATGAATATGACTTTACATCAATTACCCCGTTGCTGGTAAACTATGCCTCATACCTCCGTGACTTTGCTGACGTGTGTTTTTGTGTTCAAGCAATGTTTATGGGCTGCGTGAATGTAATCAGGGCTGTGCCACCATACAGATTAAGCCAGTTGCGAAACTAGTTTAATGTTTTGTGGAAGCAAAGTTTGAAAACACTTTACTATATTGCATAGTTACGTGGTCTTTTGTAGTTTACATTTTGGTACTTAATTAAACCCAGGTCTCATTAAAAAAAGTGATTGCTGGTCGTCTCAATGGTTTATAAATACTGTAGTGGTAATTTGTTCATCAGTATTTTTGTGTTATTGACATAAAGATATCTCATATGTAGTTATTTTGGAGGGGAAGCTCTTATCGTCATAACCTTTCTTATACAGCAGCTTCTTTCATTTCAAGGCCCGCGGGCCAGTTGCCTTCAGTGCGGCCTTGAGTGCGGCCCATGACGTGTGACCTACCCACAATACACCACCAGGGAAAACATCCCCCATCATCATCATGGTGCTGCTGTCAAACCAAATAGTTTAAAATGTGTGGCGGCCCTCACACTGATGATGTCTCATCGGCGAAAGTGGCCCCCCTCTGAAAATTAGTGAAGAACATTGTTATAGAATATTAGAAGATGGTTCATAGAGTCTTTTTGAATCGCCCTTGAAATGTTTTCCCACTCTTAAGAGTAGAAGGGCCATTGCCAGAAATATTACATTAGTGCAAACGTTACAGTATTTCATTTAATAAGAGGGTTAATTTTGGCTCTGTTAAAGTACAGTATTTTGAGAATGTTATTATATATCTCAAATGCAATTTCTGACAATTGAATAGGTTGTGTGTGTGCGTCTTAAAGTCGCTTCTCAAAAGTCAATTGGGCATCCCTCGATATACGGAATGGATACGTGAGTGAGAAGTTCTTAGCAAAGTGAAATTCCGTTCATTGATCCTTTTTCCCCATTGACTTCCATTCTATGTATTAAAAAAAAATCAGGCCCCAAAAAGTAATCAAATGACACATAATGCAGCAAACTTTGTTTTAGCACAACTAATGGAAAATCTATAAAATTATTTATTATAATTAATGAAATAAAAATACTGTACAGCGCTTAACATGAACTGGTGATGGCCGTGTGAACAGTATGCAATGCATGATGGGACAAACCACAGACCATGCATTGTTAGATTTTTTTCCCGCAAATATTTAAAATGTAGAGATTCCGTAAGTGCGAATGTAACGTTACATATATAAAATTCTTTCACGAAATTCTAAGTTACGTTATAGCGAAATTCTGCATATTAAGTTGCCGTGTAATGATGGATGATTTGTAAAGTAGTATCTGCCCATGTACTCGTATTGTGTTATCTGATATGATTCCGTCCTGTCGTTTCACTGCTTTAAATTTTGATTGTTTTTATGCCACAGTGTACTTGACTTGCATTAACTGTTAATAACTTAACTAAGATTCTCCGCAGCCTGCAATAATGTGAATTTGCAAATAAATTAGAATTGCCTCTCAACTAGCAATGTGAATTGTTTAGGTTTCCTGATTATTGACATTAAAATACAAAACGTAACACCATCCATTGCTGTATAATGTGATATATTCATAATAATCAATTTTAAAGTTAGTAATGGAACAAATTACCATTCTTGTTTTTACTCTTATCAATACTATCATTGTTTGTATTGAAAAATGTATCATATTTTCATTCCTCCCATTGCTGCACAAAATTACATCCTTTGCCGTTAAAATTTACAAATCAGCTAGTGAAAACAAAAGCTGTGTACATGCATTGTGGGCTTCTTATCAAAGATCAACGTTATCGTGCAGTTTTTCATGGGGCTGTGTGTTTAGTTGCTCTTAAACTCGCAAGTATTTATTGTAATGTATGCATATTTAAGGGAGGTTGGCAGGCCATGAATAATCACACATTGAAATCTTTCCCTTCTACCCACTTAATTACGTCCTCCCTTGCCTGAAAAACCCACAGCAGCTGAACAGGTGGTCCGTGACGCAAAATGCAGAGCACGGCCAACTACCTGTGGTGGACCAATGACGTTCTGGGACAGGGAGCCACAGGCAGCGTGTACCGTGGCAGGAACAAGGTTGGTTCCACACTTATTTATCCATGAAACCTACACTCATTCATATGACTGTTTCAGGAGGGTCTTACGTTGGGTTTTTATATTAAGATGTGTTCCGCCAATGATTGAGTGTTTTTACAAGTGGGAGGCACCTGGATAAAATCCCCCTACAGATGGAAACAGATGGCTTTCGTCCACTTGCTGCTCTGCCTTTTCCTGTCAAGCCAGGATATGGCACCTCTGTCTTCCACATACTCTGCCAGGGCAAAATCCTACCACCCTTAAGATATTTAAACCCTCCCACATCTTAAATCAATATGATTTTCTTTTTGGTTATCAATATGTCCTACATATTAATTCTGAAAGTTAATTTTATAACATGCTAATTAACTTATCCTTTAAAATAGTATATATTTTATAACATTTACATCCAAATCTATACAACATAAAAGGATTACAGCTAGCTTACTTGCTTAAGGTCATGTAGTTTGGAATTAATGCATTTTCTAATTGTGTTTGCGTTAAAAGCGTAGTCGGCAAGTTATCTACGCCAGGGTTGTTTGTTTCTTTCCCAGAGCTTCCCTAAAGCCTCCTGTAGATCAATTCAGCCTAAAATAAATGTTATGCCAATATCCGAGTTAAGGACACATGTCTCTTAATAGGTGCTCACGAACACCACATTTTTCAAGAGTCTGCCATGGTGATTGGCCAGATATTGCTCATATGTATTCATTCTGTAATTAATTTATGAGTTGTGTTTAGGTAATTTAGTGCTATATATTTAAGTTGAATAACAAATATTAATTCCTGAACTTGTACAAACATCCCAATGCATGACCTTACTAAAAATAATGTTTAAATGTTAAAGATATTCCAAGACTTTCTTGGATTAATAAATTACAGTTTTACTTGAAGTAAATGCCAATAGCATCGTTCAGTCACTGAAATAGATGACATTTAAATCTATAGGTCTTCCAGATCTAAATTATTTCATAGAAGTTGATTATTAAAGTAAACTTTGAACCGATATTGGACTCTATTGAATGTCATATTCAAGATTTGGACCTGTTAACATTTTTACGAGGTAGCTCCATGCTCGAGATAAGAACAGAGTACAAAGTTGGTACCAAAGCTTGATTTACACCAATCCATTGTACAAATATTCACCAAAGCAGAACACTAATTGCCAACATATAAATGTAATACTGTGTAAAGTAGTTGCTATTGATTGCATAATTTGAATTATGATGATTTAGTTCATTTGTATTCCATTTTTTGCCTTAATGCATTTCATTACGAGTACTTAATTATATAGATCGACAGTGACTGCGTTTTGGGGAGACCGGCCTGTGTTGTGAGAATGGAATACTCACCACTGGTTTAGGGTCTCAATTTAGAAACGAGTGCTGTGCTCATTTGAGCAGGGAGGCCCTCTTAACACTCACTCATAAATTCTTATTCATAGGTCACATTGCTGGAAAGATTCAGAAGGTTAAAGACAGTCCAGAGATTTCCTGCTTAAATTATTCCTGTGGAAATCATTGGTGAAGGCCTATAGGCTAATGGATATAAATGTGATTGTATTTTTACATGGTGGAACAGACACATCTTATCTTGTTTATTATGTGTATTACTATTATTGTATAATGTTGTATAATTGTGATTTACATATGTACTTAGAAAGCAAATGAACAAAAAGCACTATTCATATTTTCTATATTTTTCTCATTTTGTGTGACTGTCTCTGTGTAGAAAACGGGTGACCTCTTTGCAATAAAGACTTTCAACCAACTCAGTTACATGAGGCCGCAGGATGTTCAGGTGCGGGAGTTTGATGTTCTGCGGAGACTCGACCATAAGAACATCGTGAAGCTCTTCGCAATCGAGGATGAGGCAAGTCCCGTGCCACTGCAACGATCCCACTGCGATTCACATTGTCGCCAGCATTGCTGAATCCACCGCTGAATCCAAGGCTCCTGTAGTCAATGCCACTGCTATTGGGACATTTTGAAGGAAGACTTTTGGAGCTGCTGTGGTGTAATGGTTATTTGCCTTGCAATCCAGAGGTTGCCAGTTCGATTCCAACTTCCAGCACGGCGCCTGGTACGGCATCTGGTCAATGTAGAAGAATAGGCCAAATACCCTCTAGAGTTCACTCTTATGGAGGCCCTTCCACCAACAGTGGTGTAAATATTGAAGCATAGCATATACAGTACATCAGATTTGGTTGTTCCATGGCTGAGTGCTTGTCTAACTATTGAAAAGTTGCAACTTCAAATCTCAGTCGAGGATCAACTGCCCAACGTTATTTTTGGGTGGATATGATTAAAGAGTCTGGCCTCTGCCAAAGGCATGTGGAATTTACACTTGGCTCAGGGCTTCAAACAGGAAGAGCGCTGCCCCATTGCTCATCTTAGTATGGCGATTTATCAGCTACATGTGTTTAGACATTGTTTTATTCCTTTAATAGCTGCAGTCATTTAAATGTCAAACATGTCTATGCAAATTGTTGCCATGCAACTGAGTTCAAGGTGGAACCATCCTAGGTTCACATAGGAAATTATTAATTGGTGCAGAAGTTCAAGGAAGGCACTTTAATGAATACTAACTTTTGTTTTTCTGTAGCTCTGCAACTGTAGTTTGTTAATGCAAATGTGTGCCCACAATACAGCAGATGTGAAATTGAATTCCACCGAGTGGTAAACCTATGATGCTGAGCTGGAATAGGGATTTTAGTGTTGTGGCATATTATTTTTTCCATTAGCTGCTCTATTGTGGTATTCCATTGGCGAGAAATGAACAGCTTGTAACGGGCTACTAAAAAAACTCATATTCATGCGAAGTTGACATAAGCTTCTGACAATTGCTGTGGCGTTAGGTGTGGCTCGTAGTTGAAGTTAGGAATGGTATTGGAAAGGAAACACGTTTCTTTACATATGTATATATTTCTGATGGTTAAAAAATATAGTTTCCATGGCTCGGTTCTTTCAATGACACCAATTAAACTTCAAGTCAAGCTAATTGCCTTCTCAAAGGAGCATGTTGTCATGCTTTCATGTCTCTAAGTACCATCAACTGTTTATCCTTTGTGGAGTAAGTTCTGGCATATTTCGTGTAAACTTTTTTTGTATTTGCTCTTGATGTTTTGCACATTCTTACCTTACATTTTCAATACATATTATGCCATATCATATCAAGCTTGTCTTTTGTGTGTACATTGTAATATGTGTTTTGCATAATTGCCATAATATTTGGTAATTGGATGAAAAGGTACATTCAAGATGTTAACTGTTTTGCAAAGGTCACTGTAATGACATTGGAAATATGATTCTGAGAAGTCAGCATTGGTCATCCCATGGAGAGATTGGCACTCCCTCCACAACTGACTCAAGGCCACATTCCTCGTTTGAGCATGGTGGCATTTTGACTTGACTTGAATGACTATGCCAGTTTAAGACCGGTTACTAAAGTTCAACCACATATCATTAGTTTTGTCAGAATTATGTTTCTTCATTGTTTATTCATGGCATCAGCCTTCTTCCTCGCGCCAATGCATTTTGATCAGTTTTTTTTGGGGGGGGGATGGGGGAGGGAAAATGATCCAAGCCTGATTGTGGTCTCTGGGAGAGCATGCAGCTAATGAATTTGGTGCGTGGGGGTTTCCCAGTCACATGACATGAGCTGTGGTCGCTACAGGAGGTCGCACAGAGTCACGCCTTCCCCTATAAACACTCGTGCATGCCCTTTTTTGTGCTGTTTTTGTCCGCCTGTTTGTTTTGTTCTTATTGCGTCCAAAGGTCAAACAGTACCTGTGTTTCATAACGAAGAGCTGTTGCTCAATAGCCAGTAATAGTCACTCACACTCATATTTACTGAAATCAATTATAATGGTAGTCTGTTACAGCAGTTGTCAAGAATGCTTGACTCTCCAACAAAAAGTTGAGTTCAATCCCCAGTGGGCATTAACTCAGCCTAACACCACCCTGCTGAGAGCTAGTTAAAGGAATACAATGGTTTGTGGGGAGTCGACGGTTTCCATGCTTTTACTGAAATATGTGGTAGGGTACCACACGTAGATTAGTGCCGCAATAGTTTCGTTTGAGCAGGGAGATGCATGATTTGAACGGAGGCATCCTGCCATCTGGATAAGGTGAGCAGCATCTGGAAAGACTGCACTATACTTTGGTGGCAAGTAAGTGGTTGAGTCATGGAGAGACTCCTTCGCCCCCCACGAATGTGGAAATGTTGCCTTCATCTCAAGACCACCAGCAAAGAGAAGCACTCCCAAGAATGCCATTTTAAAGGAAAACGCAACCAAAAATGCTAATCTCTGTTGGATATTTACACACAATACCACCTTTACAAGATTATTTTTAAAGATTATTTCTCTGACAACTCAGTACCCCTTGAAGGCCAGTTAGCAAAACACCAAGATCTTCCTTTCCACTAAAGTTATCGCATTAAAAACGTGTTTATTATTAATTAACCTTGTGAAATATATCCAGAAATTTTGTTCCAATCTGTCCAATGCGAGGTTGAAGTTTTGTTAACAAACTAACAAGACTACAGTTGCTCAAACGTGCTATTATACACCTTAGTGATATTGCTGCAACATCACTCCCATGCATATTAATTAGTACATAATAACTGAACTTAATAATAGCAAGCAACATACCATGTTCCTAAATATGACCATTTTGTTATCGGTATATGTTGTCTGCTTTAGCATATGGATCAGAAACATGGAAACTGAAAAAGAAAATGGAACAAAATATAAAAAATATCATAAAGAAGTGTGGAGAGATTGAAAGAGGAAGTGGGCTTGGTCAGGACACCATTGGAAGGGATGATGGCCGATGGTCAATACTAACAACAGAGTGGCAGCCAAAGGAGATAACTCTCATTTGGCAGGCACTTTGTCATTATTTCTAACACACCAAGAATATGTTCATTGGAGAGATGGAGTGATATCAGCTCACGTGCAGGTGCTAGATGGATTGTTACACTTCAAGACCATAATGGATTGTGATGGATTCTGATGGCTTGGGGAGGCCTTCATCCGGCAGTGGGTAAAATCATTACTGATGGTAATTATACCTCGATAGTGATGCCACTTGAGTGGTGTGGTAGTGCAGTTGACCAAACCTTGAACGTCTCTTCTCATTTATAATTCTAAAAGCTTGTGTCAGACAGGCAGGAGACGTGTATAGAAGATTGGTCTTGGGGTGCAATTTGTGCCATGTCTGTTGCCCTTAATCCTTAAACTTTTCATCCTTTCTGCATTAATTGTCAGTAACAAGCACACGCTCACCCAGTGGGAACGATTTAAAAATTAAGTTTCGAGATTCTTGTGAGAACATACTTTGGTCGAGAGTCATTAGTCACAGCTAGCACTTTCATTTCATTGTAATCAATTCGGGAAATTCCATTGTATAGTAACATTGCAATCCCTGTCCGTTGCCCCAAGGCATATTTTAATTGCGCATTCACATGGCTAGATATAACATTTTAACCTCATGGCGGGACCCCAGGGTCCCATAAGCCCCCGGCTCTCGCATAAACTGCGTTGCGACGTCATTTTATGTCCGTTGAAGGCGAACGATACGGCGATCTATTCCTCTCGACGAGCTCTGCGCGATGCGCTAATAAACGTTTAAAAGTGTTGTTTATGACTACGGCAATTTTTTGGCAATGACGGGTGCTTGGTGAAGAACTAGAGGATTGATTTCTGGTGGGCCACGGCGTTAATGTGCACGGTGGGATGGAGTTGCCAAATATAAATAAATAATTGCGATTTTTACTTCCGTTTATTCGGGACCCCGGGGTCCCGCCATAAGGTTAATTTACTGATTTCCACTCAAACTCTCATCATCATTGAGGCCAAGGTATCCGCAATGTTAGTGATATTTTGCCCCATGGTGCTGTGTGCTAATGTGGGTCTCAGTGCCTTAGCACAGAGTGATAGATTAAATGTGAATTACCACCTTGTGGCTTTTATTGAAAGGTGCATGTGCTGGGTGACATGCATGTCTCATAGACGTTAGACTTTGAAACAAAAGAGGGTGTAGGATAGTGATTATGCAGGCATTAATTTAAGACATGTTGTGTTTAGCGATATTCATATATTTATAACATCACTGGAGACCAATCAAATTCAAGGACAGTGCATATTATTATCAGACTTGTCTTTTTTGTTTGCATTTTGACTGCTTGTGTTGTGGTCATTGCAAACATGATGCCTTGAATAAAGGTGTCAGTTTTTGTGCCAGTTAAAAGGGTAAAACCTATTCCTAACATCACTGTTCTTTTGTATTGCTGTATTATTAATATAAACTCTCGTACTGATAATGGTGGTATGGATAATATCAGCAGTCTGTCTGTTACAGCGCCACATATTGGTTCATGCACTGCTTGATGAACCAAGAGACCTGAATTCAATTCCCATTCTAGTGAATGTGACTATCATAGCTTGGAGAGTCATTCATCCAGCTTTTAATTGACAAAAGGGCTGAAAATGATTGTGTTATTAACACAAAGGGCCCATATCCGCCCTTGGCGGCAAGAATAACGCGGGAAGCTAGTATAGTGTGAAAAGCACGCCACACCAACCACGTGCAGCAGCACGGAATGGGCGCTAGGACAAATGGCATACCGTACATCATTCAATTTTTTTTGTCCCCCAGAAAAATCTCATTTAGATATTCAATATTCCGTAAATGCGACTTTAGCATAACGTATATTGAATTTGTTCCATAGTTTCTAAGATCCGTGATCACGAAATTCTGTATATTAAGTTTTTGTATAACGAGGAATGACTATAGTCTCATGCTTACTCATGTACATATATTATTGCAATTATGTGATCATTTGTATATGAAAGTCAAATTTAAAGTGTATTCTTACTCAAATGAGCAATGGGGTGGCACTTTAGTGTAGATTCCATGTCCCCACGGTGGGAGCCAGTATGTCGTAGAATTACTCCATTTGAGTTCTCCCACAGTGGTACTTATTTTATATACCATGTATGAATGATGGACTAAGTCAATACCTGACCATTTGAATCTCCAACCTTCCAATTGTGTTTGGCATTCTCTTTAAAGTGTTTCTTGGCTAGATTTTTTGCATCTGAGTACTTTTAAACAATAATTTTAAATATATTCTTAGCTCTTTCGGTAAAGTCACGTTGAAGGGAAACAATAAAATGATAAAATATATATAAAACAATAAAAATTCTCACGACGTTTCGACCATAACACAAACGGTCGTCATCAGGTGTGCCGGTTTGCATTAATTTATTTATTTTTAAACGGTGTATTTATTATAAAACGTCAGCGCTACGCGCAGCGATTTGGCAGTTTATTTAGAAGGACTAGTCCATCTATGTTCTGAAAAGAGGAGGGGGGAGACAAAAAATTAATGTATGCTGTCTGAAAGCCACTGAAAGAGCTAAGAATATGAATTACTGCAGTCACGAAAGCTTTAAATAAAAATAATTTGAAAGTTACCTTTTGTATAGGTGGCATCATTACAGATATTAGGACATTGCAATACTCTGTCCTTCGGGGTTATATAACATCGCCAATAAAAAATATATTTTCATAGTTGTGCCTTACTACATTGACACATGGAGCATGTGTTATATAAGTCGTCTGCATGGGTATCCCAACAGAAGGGGCCATCGCTGCATTACGTGTGTAGTAACATCGCGGGATGTCACTGTGTGATGCCGGCCCAAGAGAGGCACGGCGTGCGATGTAGTGACATCGCGGACACCACTTGGATGTGGGTGCAGTACCGGCCCGGGAGGGGCTCGGTGAGTGCTGACTGACAGTGCTGGATGGCACCACGCTCTGCGTGTAGTGCTGGCCCCTACAGGATAGGGTGCGTGAGTGCCGGCCATGGCACACTGGTTGACCCAAGAGGACACGTGACCGGTTAAGTCTACAGAGGGCCCCCAAGTGGGGGCTAGGGGTGGTCACTTGTCAGGGTCGAGATCCTACGCGAGGATTCTCGAAAGTGGTCGTGGCTAAGGGCGGGGCCAGCCACGCCACAGAGGATATAAGCCGGTCCCCCAGAGGGACCGGCTGCTGTTGTTCATCCTGAAGAAATCTACGTTCTACGTCCTTCAGAGTCTCCAACACGTGGACCTAGACCCAAGCTGTGGTCCGGTCCGTTGTAGCTAGTTACGGTGTAATTAGTGTAGTTAGCCTCTTGGCCCACCACCATAGGTTGTTATCCTGTAAAGGAGCAGTTACCCCGTGTGTTGGTGTTAATAAATGTGTTGCCTCCAAAGAGTACGTCTGCGACTCAGTTGAACTCGCTACAGTACAATGTTCTGTTCCTCAGATACAGTTATTGGGAATGAGGGATTTGTTAGACTGTTATGTGAAATCGTTGCATCTTTAGCTGCTCTTTCACTTGGTTGCTGTGTATTTGAAGCCCTGTAAGTGGTGTGATCTGGTCTTTTAGAACAGTGACTTAAAACTCTGAATTGTGCTCTCTAGTGGAAAAAGGGCTTGTCCGTTTTAAGGTAGGGCTTGTCAAACTAATAGACTCTTTGCAGATTTTAGCCGAGAGAAAGAACATGCTGAAGGGGACAACATAAATGGAGAATGAGCCATGTGGGGAATTTTTAGGGGTGACAGTTTAAAAATTAAAAACGTATTTCTTTATCACTGCTTTTTGTGATTAGTTGTCTTTCCCCCGCACCTCTGATTAGCACAGTTGGCTACATATGGTGTTTAAGAAGTTCTGCATACATACATACATGGTTCTTGGTTCTTTCGGTAAAGTCACGTATAAGGGAAACAATAAAATAATAAAAATATTAAACAATAAAATTCTCACGACGTTTCGACTGCAACACAAGCAATCATCATCAGGTGTGAAAACCACAGCAAGAAAATTTGAAAAAAGTGGCGTTTTTTTTTTCACGTTAGCACCACGGAGAGCGATTTGACAGTTTGTTCAGATGGATGAGTCCATCTATGTTCTGAAAAGAGGAGAGGGGAGACGAAAATAATGAATGCGGTCTGAAAGCCATCGTAATCGTGAACAATCAATTAAGACCCAAAATGGTTTATCAAATCCTTCCAACGATTGCTAAGCCAGAATCCATTTTCTCGGTTGAAATTGTCTCTGTATTTGTAAATGTGGATAGCCTCATGAACGAATCTCTCATGGTAGCCAGATGGCTTGCAAAGAACCTCTGTCTTGGAGTAGTCAATGTCATGTGTGCCTACTGAATTATAACAGTGATCTGCCACGGCCGAGGTGTTGGTCCTACCGTGTTTTAGGTCTGCTTTGTGTTCACGAATGCGGTCCGAGACATGTCGTTTGGTTTCTCCAATGTAACCACTACCACAGAGGCAACTTAGTTTGTAGACGCCAGGGTACTGTATGTCTGGAATCACATATTTTACAGACGTAACCAGATCACGGATTTTATGTAATATGTTGAATTGGACCTGGATCTTGTGTTTATTCAAGATTTTGGATATCTTTTTTGTGATCCCCACAATGTAGGGTAAAGTGATGGTTTTGAAAGGCTCCTCAAGAGGGTCCTTCTTCATGGTTGGAGTGATAGCTTTGCGGATTGTCACGAAAGCTTTAAATCAAAAATACATGGTTCTGTTTAATGGCCAAGAGGCAAAGATACAAGATTGGAGATGCTGGATAGGTAATGGATTGTTGGTGAACTATATGCTATTGATCATTTAAGGTTTGTTAAAAAATATATAGTTTTTTTCTGTATTTAAAAGGATAGCATTATAACCAAAAACAATTGACCACTTTTTTTACTTAAATGTAGAACATTTAAAACTGATTGGTAATATTGGTGTAATGTTCTCTATCAACCCACTGCTGAGTGAATGTCATGGGGGTTATCTGACCATGCCTCACCACGCAACTTTGAGAAAGGATGCCCATAACCAGCTCAGATATTGCTCAATGCTAATGTTAGCCGTGTTTGGGAATCAAACTCAGGTGGTGAGGTTCATATCAAAAGGCATTAACCGCTGTGCCAAGGCTCCATCCCTGTGCATATTTCATGAGTGCAACAATGCCAGTATAAAGCTACTATGTATACAAACCCTCTGTTGTGCTTAAGAAGTATTGTGGATCTTTCCATAATGCTGTGCAAACTGAAGATTTAAATTCTCTGTGCATGGAGATAAAATTGGCTTAAGGTAAAGTTGTGGATCACTTCTATTTATAAAAGGCAATGGCTCACAGGTGAGTTTCACATTGCGGGTCATCCTTTAGAGAAACTAAACTAACCGCCATCATGTGGATGATGAATTTAAAACAATGGCTCAAGGCCGCCAAAAGAGATGATCGCCAGTAACCATGTTAAATTTATCAGGGCGGTACATTGCCTATGTGTTTATTATACAGCATGATTGCTTTGGCTGTTGTCTGTCATCTAGGGAAATGAGTTGCATGTATTGTGCCATCGTGCACTCTGACTCATTGCTGGCTGTGTTTGACTTGACAGAACAACACCAAGCAGAAGGTGATTATAATGGAGCTGTGCAGTGGAGGCAGCCTTTACACCATCTTGGACGAGCCTGAGAATGCGTACGGCCTGGCCGAGGGAGAGTTCCTCATCGTGCTTCGTGACGTGGGTGAGTCTCCCTTTGCACCCTTGGTCTCGGCAGCACGGGGAGTTTACCTCGTCTTGCTGTAGTGATGAAAGAGAGCGTTGTTTGGTGCATGCCACCGTGCTTTTCGCCATCAACCTTTGCTCCTTTCCCCAATCATAAACAATCGGAGAGAATGTAGAGTGCGCACACAGGTCGATTGCTGAGACTCCTGAGGCTGTGATTTAACTTTTTGTTTTGTTACCCAATTTGTTCAATCTTTGGGGAACTGCAGATCTCATTTCCCTTGGTGACAGACAGGAGGCAATGCAATCAGAATTCTGTACCGTTTTGAGATGCAGTTTGCATGAATGATGCTATATCAAGATTAAATATTGTTATACAGGAATCATGCCTCTATAGCTGTCAGCAGGCGGTGGCGTCTTAAGGTGGGCAGTACCCCATGGGCCCAGAACAGGCGGGAGACAGCAAGTGCATCGGGCTCACAACGAGGCTATTCGCATCCCTCAAGGTGGCACGGATTAAAAGAGTTTCATAGTCTTTTGTGTAACACGCCTCTTGGCCTCACATTGACGCAGTTTCATCCATCTGCCCTCTCTCATCCCACGCTCAACCTCGGTAGTGTCGGGCATGAACCACCTGCGCGAGAAAGGCATCATCCACCGAGACCTCAAGCCGGGCAACATCATGCGTGTGGTGGGCGAGGATGGACGCTCCGTCTACAAGCTCACCGACTTCGGGGCAGCCCGCCAGCTGGAGGATGACGAGCAGTTCATGTCGCTGTACGGCACGGAGGAGTACCTGGTGAGAGTCATGGAACACGCGAAGCTCCGTGTTAGTATCAGCAGTGTTCGTGTATACGTAAAACCCCTTTGTGCGACATGGGAGTTTTTCACCTCAAGTCTTGACTCACAATGGTCTGATGTTCCACCCACTCTACCCGCGCAGCACCCGGACATGTACGAGCGCGCCGTGCTACGCAAGCCCCACCACAAGATGTACGGTGCTAGCGTGGATCTGTGGAGCATCGGGGTCACCTTCTACCACGTGGCTACAGGCGCCCTGCCCTTCCGGCCCTTTGAAGGCCCTCGCAAGAACAAGGAAGTGATGTATGTTACGCACTCCTGCACTCGTTAGTACTATGGTGGGGTAGGTTCTTACGCAGTAGCTTTAGATGTTCGCACATTGAATCAAGCTGCCGACACATTCCTTCTAATTGATTGTGAAATGATTTGGGATTTGTTTTTTATGAAGCTGATTATAAAAAGTTAACGTGTACTTGCTTAATAACATTAACTCTAATTTCCCACTGAAACGGGAGTGACAATACGGGCAATCCTCAGCTTACGCGTGGGTTACATTCCTGAGACTCGTTCGTAAGTAACATTTCGTCTCTCGCAACTCGATATTTCATTGTAAAGTACATATGGTAAAAGGTATATAATTCGTTATGGTTTAACAAAAATGGAAGCAATGATAAGCTCATAAATAAGAACAAATATTGCTCATTGTCATGTAATACTGTAATAAATACTGTAATAAATACTGTATAGTAAATCAAACATAAAATCAACTAACATGAAAATAAACTTGAATTTTAACTTGCCTTGAGTCATGATGCTGGCTTACTTGTTGAAAGGGGCGTAATGAGTTCCATCGGGATGCTGGGACTCATTACATCTGACAGAGGATTGTTCCGCCGAACAAAATAGTTCTGCGGTTCGGTTCTTAAGTATGACCAAACGTTCGCAAGTCGAATGGTTAAAAATAATAACATTCTTTGGCGGTTTGTAAGTGCGGATGTTCCTAAGTCAGACATTTGTATCTCGGTGACTGCCTGTAGTGGATTACCATACTTCTCTGGTACTCTGATTTACATTTGAGCTCAGGGTTCTTCAACTGGAGGCCCATGGTCCAGAAGTGGCCCACTGAGATATATGGCTCTCCATCACCTAGAGGTTCACATGCGTGAGATGAAAGAGAAACCATGGATAGCTGTAGACAAGCGGTAAAGATGAGCGAGTTAAAATCGAGATACGTGAGAGGGAGATGAGAGCCTAGAGACCAGAGATAGAGACTCATGGGCACATGTCCATATGTGAGCAACATCATAAAACTCGTATACGTGACGTGGAGTCAGTGGCCCCCACTGAAAAATATAAACATTGATCAATAATGCTGCCTTTAATTGAAACCTCTATATCATCGGTGACGATTCTGGCAATGGCCCTTCTTCATAGCACATACAAATGTCGTTATAAAAACCTGTTTAGCTTGTAAATTGTATTGCACTTCCCATCACTGCGCATGAACAATCTCACAATGCAGTAGGCCACAATGGAGAGGTGGCATGTTGAGCCACAATGGAGAGGTGGCATGTTGAGCTTGGCACTAAAGTTGAGAGTTATCATTCAGGTACCGCATCACAGCGGAGAAGCCTCGTGGCGCCGTGAGCGGGGAGCAGAAGGAAGAGGGCGGCTCCATCGTGTGGAACGAAGAACTGCCCATCACCTGCCAGCTGTCCAGGTGAGTGCCCTGCTCCCAGAAGACCGCCCCCTCAAAAGGAAGACAAAGCAAACGGGTCTCGTCGTGGAGACCCTTACGGAGCCCACTTTCCCCGGGCTGTCAACATGAGTGTGACACTTCATGCGAAACAAAACTTTATGGGCATTGCTATTGATTATGTCATGGCACTTCATAATTGTCACCATGATGTCACCCCCAAATGTAAATAAAGCTATAATGATTGAGGTTATTACTCATTATTGATGTGTATTCATGAATGAAGCTATTGCTATTCTTGGTTCTTTCGGTAAAGTCACGTAGATAGACATGTTTCGGACCGTGTTCGTGAGCATAAGGTAGATTTGAAACACAGTAGGACCAACACTTCTGCCGTGGCTGATCATTATTTTAATGCGGTTGGCTCACACGAAATTTATTTCTCTCAGACGATGGTACTTTGCAAGCCCACTGGCTATCAACAAAGATTTGTTCATAAAACCATACATATATACAGACAGACACAATTTCAACCGAGATGATGGGTACAAACTCAGCATTCATTGGAAGGACGTCATCAACCACTTTAAGTCATAACTGGTTGTGATGTTCCCTCCTTATCGGCTTTTGTTCCTTTCCTGTCACCTGTGCTTCACCTTGGTGGTTTCTGACCCCAAGGTAGATATGCCCCGCCCACTTCGTTCTGTTACCAGGAGGCTTATGCCACGACCTTTTTAAACCTTTAAAAGCAGCTTGGCTTCTGTGGCCTTCCCCCCCCCCCCCCCCCCACTTTTCCTCCTGATTGACGATCACTTGTATTGTGATCGAAACGTCTTTTTATTTTATTTACTTTTATTTTATTTACTTTTATTTTTTCTATCTACATTACTTTACCGAAAGAACCAAGAATATGAATTCCTGCAGTCACGAAAGTTTCAAGTCAGAAGCTATTGCTGTTTACTCCTGAATGATGTTTTGGCTGTGTGCTCATGAATGAGGCTATTACTGTGGATTCATGAATGAGGCTGTTGCTGTGTATTACTGAATGAGGCTATGACTGAGTGCTCGTGAATGAGGCTATGGCTGCGTGCTCGTGAATGAGGCTATGGCTGCGTGCTTGTGAATGAGGCTATGGCTGCATGCCCGTGATTGAGGCTGTCTGTATTCTCATGAATGAGGTTATTGCTCTGTACTCCGACATAGGAGGATTATTACTATTGTGCCCATGTCAACATCATTAGGCCAGTACCTGTGACCAGCGTCGCTCACCAGGCTCTCTGCTGTCTCGTGCTTTTCCAGAGGCCTAAAGCTGCTTCTGACACCGCTGTTGGCAAACATCATGGAGGTGAACAAGCAGCACTGCTGGAACTTTGACCAGTTTTTCGCGGCCGCCAACGAGATCCTGACGCGCCACGTGTTCCACATCTTCTCCCTGTCGCAGCTCTCCCTTTTCAAGGTCTACGTCCAAATCGAGCAGCAGTGAGTGGCCCTCCCGATCACAACTACGCTCGCTTCTTGGATTAAGCACGGACCTTTGGCCATGTTCTTTGGTGCGGTGATGTGGCTAGGGCCGGTGAGGTGGCCGAGCGGCAGAGCGTTTGCTGCTGGTTACAGAGGTCCGTGGTTCAAGCTCGGCAGCCGCCCTGGTTAATACTGTGGGTGTATTAACGATGACACGTGCTGTCTGCTTCTCAGTGTATGCGAAAGATCACACCACGATATTCTATAAAATATCCATGTATGCCAGCGTCATGATCCAATATTGCCCGCAAGTTGCTTAATTGGGCAAAACCACTTTGCAACAGCCCCTCTTCGTGGCAGACTAGACTCATTCCCCTTGGCTAGACTGCCAAAGGGCAATGAGATAAGATGTGATGTAAGGTGCTTTGGGATTCTAAGGCATTTAAGTGTCAATCCTTATCGTTAAATACATTAAAATTGCAGAGCTGCAGTGGTGTAAAGCTGTAGATGCACACGATATGCCTTGCGTCATCTTTGCACTGTACCCAGGGGCACACACTTGTTATTCATTGACTCAGAGGAGGCAGGGTTGGTGGATCATGTGAAAGTTAGGTGAGTCTGTTTGAGATGCTGACCTACAGAACAGCTTTGTGGCTGTGTGAGACAGTACAGCAAGCAGATTCCATGTGTGGGGAGAGCAGTAGTGTGGCGGTGAGCACACTTCACTATGAACCTGGCGATTCGAGTTTGATTCCCGCTCATGGCCAACACCATTGACGATTATCGGAACTGGTCCTGGGCCTCCCCTAGGTCGATTTTGCCTCAAATGAGCACCTGGTGCAGTGTGTAAATATTGCCATTGGGGGAGACCAAGGCAGCCGGACGTGGTGGTAGCCACCCCCTCCTGTGCCATGCCGGCCTTCACAGATGTTCGCTCACAGCACTTGCCCCAAAAGTATGTTAAGGCTATACCTGGGATCTTTGTCTTGGTGTGCACCACTCCAGATTCAAGTCCCTGCAGGAACTGATAGAGAAGCAGACGGGCATTGCGGCGGCACAGCAAGAGCTTCTGTTTGAGGGGCGCCGGCTGCACTATGCAGGAAACACGCAGCTGTCACAGCTGCCCACCACCTCTGAAGACCTGCCCATCATGCTGCTGGGCCCCAACCCCATGAAGATCATTGGCTTCATGTACATTAAGCGTAAGACCATGCCACCGCATCACCTTCCCCAAGAGCTGCTCAGGATGCTGATATATAGACATATATAAAGACCCCTTTGTCACTGTACTGCTGATTACGAGACGAGAATGAGGAACAGATTGGAGAACATTGCAACTTCATGACACACTACGATTAACAGTTAGTGGTCTTGGGCGGGATACACCACAGAAGGGATGATGGACAATGGTCAACGATAATGACAGTGTAGCAGCCAAATAATTGAATGGGTCTGAGAGCACGTCCACAAAGGACATGGAGCAATGACATCAGCTCACATGCAGGTGGTGGCTTAGGGAGGCTTTTACCAGTAGATTGATCGTGGCGATGTTGATAAGTACCCATCAAACTTTAAATCCATGTATTATTCTGATGAGTTTGACTTTTTGAGTGTGCAATACATTGTGGAACTGCCCATTTGTAATTGCGTGGAATGTTCTGTTTTTGTTGCATTATAACAGCTGAGGTTCCGAAGTTTCATTCTCAGTACAACTTAATACATGATGCTTCTCTTGCAAAGGTACGTGTGCCCTTTGGAGATATTACATCGGTTGATTTACATATTCTGTTGACAAACCTGCACCACAATTGTGCCTTGAGGATATCCCGCTTCATAAGAAATTACAACTTTATTAAATCCACATACAGAGAAGCAGCATATTGCACTGAGAAATAACAGAAGAGTACTACGGGGACTTCCAATGATTACCCTGTTGGTCTCGCCCCTCGTGTTCATGAGCAGAGCACATCTATTACTTTGGTTATAACGTACCCTCTGGTTCGTGTCTTCTCAGTCTGTGACGGCCGAACTGCACCAGGTGCAGAGGATCTCGAGCTCGCTGCTGTGCGTGCAGGTGCTCGCGCGGAAAGGAGCAAGGTGGATCCTGTGAGTGGTGTGAGCGAGTGTTCATGCATCTCCCCTCTTTAGTTTTCCACACACAGACGATTCCCTGTGGACCAGTGACTGATGGGCTAAAGCCAGAAACAATGTGCAAGGGGCTTTTTGTAATTGTTCAATGCAATACTCACTCGCTCCTCTCCGCTCCCTGTGGGGCATAAGGCCGCAACAAGCCATTACCATGCCAGACGGTCTTTAGCAGCTTTCTCTCAATGCAATAAAAGCATTTATTTTTCCCTTACTCTTCTTTCTTTGGCTAACACTTCTAATTTTACATGTTGTGCACTTATTTTACATTGCAATGTCTTAACAGGCATTATATGGGCATGTTTTAACAAAGGTAAATTGCTGTAATTCATATTAAAATAAAATTTTAGTAATTTGATCTCACCATTAATCGTCAGATACATGTTTACATGTCCCACCTTTGTCCATAATGCACTTGATGTACAAAGTGTAACATCGTTTTACTTAGTTGTCAATATCTCACGCTGGGCGTAGTGGTGTATACCTGTGATGCAGCACGTTGTGACTTAGGGGTGTGTGATTACATAGAATTGTCAAACTCAAACCTGCTGTGCTGTTAGGTAACCAATAGATGGCAGTGTCATGTTGGACAGCCTGGGACACGTGGCTTCATTGCTTATCTGCAAGGTAGTAACTGTCATTAATATTTTAGAGCATTAAGTCTAATGGTATGGTCCTCCTCCAAACATCCCTGCCCTGGCCAAGCAGCACTAAAGCCGCTCCTAACAGCGTCTCCTCCCTCCCAGGAATGTTTGGAGCGATCAGATGAAGGAACTCGACAACCTGAACGTGATTCTGCTGCAGAAGATGAAGGCTGTATCGACCACGTCGAGAATGCTCGAGCAGATGTAAGCACACAAGTACCAGACGTCCAGACGTTTTCGCGTTACGCGGGCACTGTGCGGCATTTCGGACGTGTGAGTCGAAATGAAACCATTAATCGAAACGAAACGTTGGACGATCTTATGGGCACGTGTTTCCCTGCAGGAACGACACCCTGACGCAGATGTCGTCTGGGCATTGGGACTCAACTTTCCTCAACCACCAGGAAGAGATAAAGAAGGTAGGTAGTATACATGGCACGTGACTGTGTCCGGCACTGGACACAATGTTGTTGTATATGTCGGTTGTGAAAATTTTGATGAAAATAATAAAAATTAAATGAAATTTGAAGTCTGCGTAATTATCCGAAATTATGTTAATTGATGTTATGCGTCTAAATTATGCTCATTCGGGAGATAATCGTATTAATTTATGCGAGTGGGTGTTATTATGCTAATGAAAGCCGTTATGATAATTAGGCCCCGCCTCGCTGACGAGGGTCGTATTACCAATCGGGATCATACAATTAATCGTATGAAGTTATGCCAGTGTGATGCAAGCATGCCAGAGTAACTCACTCGTTTAACTTCGTATTAATGCTCAGTAATACAATTATTCTCACTTTAACATTAACTGAGTGTATTAGTGTGTTTGTCAGGTCTCCAAATTCAATCTCAACGCAGAATACAGTTCTTATAAATAATATTTTTATGCATTAAATTAGGAAAGAACACGCAGACACTTTTGTGCTAAGCAATTTTAATTTCTAAACAAAACCTTAATTCTATGATATGAATTATTAGGCTCGGAATTATCAACACAGTACCAACACAGTAACCATCAACGATTGCGTTGTTTCACTTTGGCAACTGCACATACGATTAATTCCACCGCATAACGCGAGCCCAGTTGGTGAAAGGGAGAGTCGTTAAAACATGCATGCAAATTATTCTAAACAAAAACCTTAACTTTATAATATGAATTATTATACTTGAAATTGTCAACACAGTACTACAGGCGATGTTCATTTCATTGATCCAACTCTTCAATCCTCAATAATCACGTTGTTATTTGGGTAACGGAACGATTGATTACTTCCTCTGGGTACCACGAGCATATGGAAAATACGAATAAATCCTTAATATTTCATCCGACGATATTCATGCGAAAAGGCAGTCAAACAATTATTATTCCCAAAGGCACAAATATACGTCAATGGATTCATCGGCAAGATTATGCCATTAAAAGAAAACGAAAAAAAAAACAACGACTCAAATACTTCTAAGTGACCGTATCCACGTAACTCAATGGCAGCAATGTTCTTCATGATCAGTTGATATTTTAATGCACTTTATAATTAGTCTTAATATGTGTGGGTGCGGTGGATTGTCTCTTTGGTAAATTCTTGTGTGAGCAGACGACGTAAGAGTCATGGGTTTGTGAAGGTGGGGGGAGGGGTATACGAACAACGGCTGGTTCCCTCTATCGCTCGGCATTGGACGTTGACTGAAGGTTCTCTCCGCCGCTGGATGATGAGCTTGTGCCGCAAGCGCTCTCTCCGTGGAGATGCACGATCACGCTCGCCGCTGGTTCGCTGACAGCAGCAGTCTCCTTCCACTGCTGTAGTAACTGCGCCGCACGCGCTTTATCTGTGGAGATGCGCGAAATCATGCTCTTTGCTAGTTCGCTGACTCTTTTGCTCACGGGCGGCTGGTCAGGCTCTTTCCCCTGCTGGATGAGCCAAGTCGGCACAACGCTTGGTGCTGGCAGCTGGCACTCGATGTAGAATAAAAGTCTTTGTGCGATACTTCGTCTTTCAGCTCTGAACTCACACTCGGTGGCACATCGCTACTCTGCCAGCCTCGCCATCCTCGGTTGATCGCGGGGCCCACCTCAGGGCCTGCCGCTCGCCACCCTCTTCTGTAGCTCGCCGAGCTGTGCCTTGTTGAACTGTCGAGAGCTTAATTGTTGCTCACTCTCAACTTGAAAATTGTATTTGCACAACTCTTACACAACTCTGATAGCTTAGTACAATACAGCTTATCACAATCCTTGATTCTGCAAGCGACTCAAAACATCAGGATGAATGTAGAATAACTTTCAGCGATACTCTGTCGGTCCATGCCAAACTCAGCACCTAACATCCCCTCGCCCCTCTTCTCTGCGGGACACAGCACCCATTGCTAATGTCTAGAGGCCATGCCTCGGAGCTGGCTTGATGTCTTCTTCCGATCTGCAGTCTCGCTGTCCCTTGCCGAGCTTAAATGTGTAATTCTCTCTCCGCGTCTCTTGCGAGAGAAAAAAAAAACAGATGCTTGCTCTGCGTTGTGGGGGGAGGGGGGTGTAGTCCGTGTGTGTATCATTAAGTCCAGCGCAGTGTGTACAGATGGCCCCCGCGATAATAAATTTCCCTCGCTCTGGTGTTAAATTCCTGCTCTCCCGTGCTGCGGGAAGACAAAGGCGGCCGGGAGGCTCTCTCCTATGGAACACAGTCTATCTTGGCTGTGTAAGCCCGTCCCATTCCGCCTCATTCCTTCTCGATAACCCTTGATGTAACACTGCATTTTCTGTCCCCAAGATTTGTGATTTAGCAGTTCATCATTAGATGTTACCTCCGATATTCCAAGGGTTTTATACTTTTGCTCCCTGTCCGGATACATACACGATGTCAACCTATTTACTAAGTTTTAAACTTTAACCGTCGTATTAATAGCAAAGAAGGGTAATATGTTTAAATCTCTTTCTGTATGGCGTCACTCTGTCTGTGGGCTGACGAAGGGGAGGGGGGTCCCCCGCCTAGAATTTCCCCTTCCCTTTTGGTGACCCCGGCGGCAAATAGGTTTGTTTGTGAATCATCCTTTGGCAATCTGAAGATTTTGCCGATAGTCGCTAACCTCTCCTAGCCCCGGAGCCCATTTATTTATTTATTTGCTTTGATGCCCTTTTTACGATCTCCAGCTGCTGTTTGCTGGTTCTTGTCGTAGCCGTGTTTATTATTTATTTCGGTTACTATTAAAAAATATATTGCCAAATATTATTATTTATATTAATTGTGGAAAAAGGGCCGTATACAACAATGTGCTCACCTCCGATTAGCAGGGTTGCCTACTTACGGTGCAAAATAAGTTCTACATACTTACAGTGCCAACAGCAGCAAGACCAGTACCATATTTACCTCTTAGACCACCAACACCTTCAGTGCCACCACTCCAACCATCAGCAGCACCGCCATGGCCGTTATCACCACCGCAACCACCAGTATCAGTACTTCCAGAATTTATTACCACAACGACCATCACCACTCACAACCATGTCCATCACCAAAAGGACCACCAACATTTCGATTTAAAGCTTTCGTGACTGCAAGGATTCATCTTCTTTGGTTCTTTCGGTAAAGTCACGTAGAATGAGAATAAAATAATAAATTGATAAAATAAAATAACACAATAATATTCTCACGACGTTTCGGCCACAACACAAGCGGCCTTCATCAGGTGAAGGGACGAGACTGTCTGGTAGGACAGCGCTGGAGTATTATTTTATTCATTCTACGTGACTTTACCGAAAGAACCAAAGAAGACCACCAACATTGCCATTGGCAGCACCAAAATGACCATCAGCATCACAATCACCTCTATCATCATGAGTACCCGCAACCACAAGCATCATAACTACCACTAACTTTAACATAGTCACCATTGGTGAGTTTATCACCTGTACTTTCCTTTTTAAAATATCCTTCTCTACATCACCACCAATAGCACAGCCCTTGCCTTACATCACATTCATCATATCACCCCACGAACAATCCTCACCATCAACACCATCTCTAAAGTCACTGGTACCGCTCTCACCATGACCGATATCTTCTGCCTCATCCTTGACATTTTCAACATCCTCTGCAAACAACATTGGCATTAACATATCCCCACTGTCATAAGCTAACATAACATCACTGCCATCCAGGCAACTTTTGCTCACGTGCAAAATGGCTCATAGAGCAGTGCATCCCTTAATTTTAAAGAATGGTTTACTGAAAGTGAACAGTTACACATAGTAAGAGGACAGCACTTTCTCCTACCTGCTCTGCCATATGTTTTTTTGTGCTGCGATTGGGCTGAGTGAATGGGCTGAGACCATCAACTCTGTACATTGAGAACCTGATTTAATCACTGGCACCAGCCTGGATTCAAACCCAGCTCATCACTCTGAACTTGTGAGCAACATTGCCACCTCCTGCTGAGGATCCGCTCCCGTTGGCAACTGTGATGGTGGCGGTAGGGTGACGCGATGTGCCGTGGTGTGGTGAGCAGATGCAGATGGTGGTGGACAGCGTGCAGGACTGCCTGGAAGGGGTACATCAGGCGCTGCTGCCCGGGAAGCCGTTGACGGAGCCTCCGGTGGAGAGGATGGGGTCCACGCCCGCCGAGCGCCAGTGAGTGTAGCCGCAGCAGCATGAGCGCAGAGTAGGAAAACTTCCACGTTTGAGTCGTCTGACAACCTTACACACGGTGGGGAAAATGTTACCCATTCACTCCCACTTGGACTGAATCTTGAACGGAGACAATAATCGCCCTTCGCGTCAGTGGTGGATCCCGGGGAGAGGGTGATGGGGGCAATCGTCCCTCCCCATCCTGGCAACCCCAAAATTTGGTATTTTTATTTATATATTTACCAGATAAATAGATTAAATTCATTATTAATCATGGAGGGCCCTATTTAAAAAGCTTGATATATTAAGACTATCCCCCCTTGGGAAGTTTAGAGATCCACCTCTGACATTAGGATTGACTATGAAATGATCACCCTTCACATTGAGTTCCATTCGCCATTGAAATTCCTTGGCAAAGATTGAGTGAAAATGAAAACTGATTTTAGCTGTTGTGTTCTTCATGGGACCACCACTTGTTTTTCCACAAAGTGGTTCGCATTTGATCCGACTTTGAATGGTGACCAACCGAGTTGATCCATATCCGGGACTTGTACTCATGATTTTCTGATTATCGATCGGGTGCTTTACCACAACAAGGAGTTGCAACAAAGGCCAACAGTCATTCCAGTAGCAGCACATTTTTTTTTATGAACTACATAAACCAATTTTCAAGAATAGTGAGGTCAGCTGCAGTGTTATTCGATGGGGTCAGAGCTGAACTTTTACAGGTTAACTATAATATAAGTTTACGGCTTCTGAATGCAGTTGCTTAAAGGTGATACTAAGCAATTGATTGAAGCCTAGGCTTTCAAATATGGGAATTTGGAATAGAATGTGGCAGGAAAGACTTGTAGAAGTGATCAGCAAGGGGAAGTTGTGATAGGTGTATCATCGGTACAGGATGGAGGAGGGATGGTTCCCGAGACAGGATTTGGAGTGGTACCCGAAGGTTGGCAGCCTTTGGGGGGGAAGGCTAAGAACCAGACTGTGGGATGCTGCAAAAGAGGACTTTAGAGACCAGCTGTTGATATTGGAACTAAAGGACTTGGCAGATGTAAAGAAGCAATGGTGATTTGTGTGGACACCAACGTGATCTGTAATGACCACCTCTGTACTATCCAGCCATAAATAGCAATATTAAGTAATTAAACTCAAATACTAACACTGATTCAATGTTTCTGTGACCTCCATGTAGGGTGGAGAGGATCGGGGTACTGGTGGACAAAGTTCTGTCCACATACTACCAGTTCAAAAAGGACAAGTTACAACAAAGTAAGCACTGCTTGCTCGTCAGCCTTTAAAGTGGAACTTTCACTTCCGGCAGTCCTGGGCAAATGAGGGGCCTTCTGCTGGTGCCAATGGCTTCCATGCCACCTAAATAGATTTATTTTAAAATATATATTAGAAAGGTAATTCGGAAGTTTTGGTGGGACATCAATAGATATTTTGTGACGAAATAATTTACAAATCCTGTCTGACAAAATAAATAGTATCTGCGCTGTGTAACAGTATGTGAGCTATAGTGTTGTGTATAATATTTATATTCACATGCTACAAGGTCAGGTATATGTGTCTCGGCTCAAATGAGCAATGAGGTGGTGCTTATCTGTTTGCAGCTTTGAGGAAATGGTGAAAATTAAATAATCCTCTCATGGGTTTAGTCTATTCCAAGGATAACTCCGGTTAATAATAATTACAACAGTGGTACTTTATCATCCTCGGTGGTGGGGGTTGTAGGCCCGGTCAACCTGAAACCAGGATTTAAACATTCATCCAAATGTGAGTCCATCACGTAACCACAGTGCGACCTGGCCATATTCGGTGTTATACACTGCATAGCAACACAACTTACATTTAGTCCTGTTACAGGGTCTTGGAACATATTTAACAGAGGATATGACATTTGGTGAATATAGATCATTATAGGTCATAGCTGGTTCCTGTAGCTGCACCAGCCAATGCATTCATTCCCTTTATAACAACATTCAATGAGACCTCACCCATTTATGCTCATTCCATTCTCTATAAATGTTGATTTCTCACCTGCCAAACAAAAATGTGCAAGTATTTTAGTGTTTGGGGTGCGGGTGAGATCCAGTTTGGTTAAAACGATTGGAGCACTCTGATAATGTGTGAACCCTGCATTGTGATTGATAAATAGTATAATAATATATTTCCTTTTAGGGTTGCAGTATAATGAAGAGCAGATTCATAAATTTGAAAAGTAAGTACCTTTCAAAAATTGATCCTTATGGTGGTACCCCGGGGTACCAAATAATACAAAATGGCCGAGGAAATTAAATATTTTATTTCTGGGACACTATTTTTTCGAGGGGTGTACTTCACTCCGTGACTGGGGTACCAATGAAATCCGAAATCAGTGCTACTCCGCGATGTCGAAACGCAGCGAGGAGGATTGCGCTGAAACCCTGAACACTCCTACGCACCGTAGTGGTGCATCGTGTACAGCTCGTCGAGATGAGTCGATTGCCGCATCGCCGACTATCAACAGACAAAAATGACTGCATCACAGACATTATGCAAGAGCCGGGGTACTATGGTACCCCAGGGTATCGCCATAAGGTTCAATTCACCTTTTGGATAACAATCTGTCTTTGGATGACATTGAATACATTTGTACCGAATCAATGTTGTGCTCCAAATATACATTGGTTAATTGCACTGCATCTTATATTTATGGTCTTTAGATAGTACACACAAACCCTAAGATATTTACCACACAACAATCAAATAATTTTACCAAATTATATTCATGTATTTGACATGGTGTTTTATTGTGCAGTCTTTGCTTAATATGCTGAAACCAACAGATTTCTAAATTTGAAAATATTGTTGAATAATAAAGAGCAATAACCTGAATTTGAACAAAGGACTTAAGTTGTGTCAGCTCAATTTTAAGACATGAGCATTATAAATCAATTGAGTTTTGTGTTGTGGTTCCTATCCTAAGCTAAGTGAATGGCGCACCGAAACATCAACTTTGCTTGTGGGCTCTTCACAGACAAAAGCTGGGCACTTATGCAGTGGCAGCGATGACCTTGCTGACGGACGACTGCCAACCCAAATACCAGGCTGTCCAGCGGACCTACGACGAGTGGCTGAGGTACAATTCACACAACCACACTGCGCGTTAAGACTATGACACGAACGACTTGCAGAACTAGGGCCATGTTTGTGTGTTGAACTTCTTTCGCACCGTACGTAGCCAATGGTGCTAATCAGAGGTGTGGGAATTTCGGGCCCAATTGTGGCAACACTTCCTCCATGGACACACGAGCAGTTGGAGGCGTCGATAGGTACAAATAATGGATATTGTGCAGGGGAAGAGGGAACATTTGGACGAATGAGTATTGAGAGGCATCCTGAGGGACACAGAACACGAGTATTTATAAGGTGAAAGGTGACAGGGAGCAAGGGGATACATTGGAAATAAGAAGCACCTGTGGAGTTAAGAAGGAGAGGACACCTACATGGAAGGCACATGGCTGCTGCACGGTGACACGAGGAGCTCACTGGCATCGTGTAAACACGTGAGCCCTGTGCTGTCCTTGCAGATCAATGTTGGATGTGCGGAAATCGATGGTGGTGTTGGCTGCGGAATGCAACAATCACTGCAAAATGCTGGACTTGCTGCTGGAGAAACTGAACAAGGTACATGATTACTGCGTCCAGCCTGGAGAGCTCATTTTACTGAAAGCGCTATAATTGGTTGAAGGAAGCCTCATGCACAGCAGTGCAAACATAAGTTTTAACACGTCTCCACAGTCATTCTAAAGCTGTTGGGTTCAGATACTGTAGAATCAATCATTCATTAAGCTAATAACATAAAATAAAGGTTGAGCAACATCTCTTCCAACCCCCGCTGACCAGCGTGTTGAAGAATGGTCAAATACAATCCCAATACTGACATGGTGAGAGAAGCCTTCATCCAGCAGTGGATTGAAATAATGTAAAATCTATAGTTATTTTATGAACAGCAGTGGAAGAGCAATGGAAAAGGACAATGATTTAAACTTCTTCCAAAAACATTTGCTTTTAAATTAAAACGCATACTGGCTGATACTTGATCCAAAATGTAATGGGACACTTTTTCACGATTGTGTGCGTGTCTATACACAACACTTGACTACTGCACATATTCGTTGGGTCTTTCGGTAAAGTCACGTAGATACTGCACATCCACTTATATATTTATGAAGTAAAATCAAAGGTCAAAGTGTCTCCTTGACCAAATAAGGAATGGGGTTTGCAAACGTTTCCTTTTTAGACCCTGAGCCAGTGGTGGTAGTTTCATATTCTCATAGCAGGGGTCAGTCTCTCGTTAAGACAACCACTGTTCGTGCACTTAATGCATTATCTGTTAACTGTGATAGTGGTAAAGGGTGTACAAACAGGTAGTTGTCAGGTTGCTCAGGGACTCATCCCATGTCAGAACAGAGTCCTTAATTAAACCAGGCTGTCAAGTATAGCGACTTGAATGTCTCTCCCTGACTGTACAAAATATCATCACCTTCAAATTTGGTTGAACTTAATTTGGCATATTTGCAGCTCCTGAGGACTAAAATTGGTTTCATATTCATGTGAAAAACGTCTCGGTCAGTGGTTCCCAAACTGATCTGTAGTGGGCCACAAAGCCATTAGAAGTGATTGGCAGACCTGTTTCAGAAACGATTATATTTTTTAACTAGATTCGAAGCTTTCGTGACTGCAGGAATTACTCTTTGGTTCTTTCGGTAAAGTCACGTAGAAAGAAAATAAAATAATAAGGCCTCAGCACAGAGTCTTTGTCTTGGTGTGTGTCTCGCTCGTTGTGTCTTTGTGTGTGTCTCTCTGCATGTGTGTCTGCCTATCTTGTTTTGTGTCTGTTTTCTTGGTGTGTCTCGCTCGGTGTGTCTTTGTGCATGTCTCTCTCTGCATGTGTGTCTGCTTATCTTGTTTCGTGTCTGTTTTCTTGGTGTGTCTCCATCGGTGTGTCTTTGTGTGTCTCTCTCTCTGCGTGTGTCTCTGCCTATGTTGTTTCCATGTCTGTGTTTTAGCATTCATTCTTACCTGATGATGGTTGCTTGTGTTGCAACCGAAACGTCGTATTCTATTATTATTTGATTTTATTTGATATGTGACTTTACCGAAAGAACCAAAGACATATTTTTACAAAACAGTTTTTTTACTGCATGGTGATACGTGAAATATGTTAAGGGTTGTTTGTGGGTTCAGAAGTTGGGAACCACTGCTCTATATCGTAACTTTAGAGAACATGACATAGAAGGATGTATAAGAAGCCAGTTGAAGGAATCTCAAAGTAGTCTTGTGATGTCATCTTGCAGAGGGTTTTCAATAATATGTCTTGATGCAGTGCTATCTACAGTATTTCCAAGTGGATTGGTTTTGGACATGGTCCAACGTAATCGTACTTGTCCGTGTGCGTGTCTGCGTGTGCACGTGTGCACGTGTGCGTGTGCATGTCTGTGTGCAGTGGATGCACGAGTCATACCCCGGTGCAGTGGGTGAGATTGTGGCACTCTGCAACAAGGTCCCAAGCCCTGTGCAGGCCATACAGACGTTCAACTACTCCGACTCCCCCAACCTCGTGCAGCCACCCATGCTGAAGAACATCTGTGTTGGGTGGGTATCCCATACGGAGATTGTTCAGCCCTTACCACATGGTCAAGGTTAATGGCACAGTTGATGCAATCAAACATCACCATAACTGTTGCAGTCTACGTCCCTTGCAATAGAACCACTATTGTTTTGCTTCTGCCATTGTTACTGTTCCCATTAATGTTATTGACTCCTCCACCCCTGTTGAGGGCTCACTCTGCCAGACTGACCGTTTTGTCTCATCCATACCGAGTTCAACCACCACACTGCAGGTCACGGCACTTCTCTTTCTGCTTCTTTCCTCGCACTGCTCGACTTATAACCCTGCTCAATTACATATATGTATTAACGCTTACCTGTTGCACCTTCAATTGTACTGTTTGTTAGCTAGAAAATACCTTTAATTCACTAAGCAATCCAGAGCATTATTAACGTTGTATCATAAGCATGGTTCTGCCATGTACCTGAAGAATCGTGTAGCTCACCAAAGCTATGTTTGCCCTGCCACACACATTGCTTCTCTTAGCATGAAAAAGCTGAAGCTGAATGTGAAAGAAATGTCAGAGGAGCTGCACAAACAGACGGTGATGATTCAGAGGTAAGGAGTCCAGCTAAAGCATCTCCCTGCTCAAAAGAGCATGGGGTGGTGCCCATATCTGCATGTGATGATGCAGAGCCAGCATTGGAAATTCCACATTCCCATGGCGGGGGTTAGTTTATCCTTAGGTCAATCAGTCTTGTCTTCCTACAAAACTATCCAAATTTGATCGACCCCTAGAAATTATGAGCTGAGTCAAACTTTGAATGAGATAAGAACGCAACGAATGATTGTGATTCGAGTGCTTTTGCCACTTGTAGGAATGTGGAATTTTAACCACTGATGATGAATGTTGCCCATCCTAATTTGAGCACAGAGACGTGCAACAGACATTTAATTAAATACAAACCAGATTGGCAGCTGTGATGAATTGGAGAAATATTGCGTGTTAAGACTATAATTGAATCAACAATGAGGTATTCATCATTGCCCATGTTCCATTTAATCACCGGTGATTTGTTTTATTAATCGTGATCCTTCTCTCTGTCTACAGGTTGGGATCATTCTCTGGATCAGTTGATTTTGATGATGAAGAACATATGTTCGACTAATTGCTGTGAATAATAAATCACAATCATTGGCAAGAGAATGGAATGCATGACCAGCAAATAGCCATTTCTTAAAATATAACCTTTGTTCTTTCAAAACAATGGAGTGAAACAGGTGTCTGGCATTCCTGAGATGGGGGTTTTTGGAAGGGAGCACAGGGGGGGGGGGGGGAGTCTAGAATAAGGGTGAAAGGGTGGGGGGGGAAAGTGTCTACCTGCCAACCACAGTAGAACAGGGTTAGTATCTGCCATTGCTTTGTTGTTGGGCATGAAGAGGTACAGGGAACAGATGAGGGAGTGTAATTTCAATACGTGTATTACATGTGAAAAAATACCACTCACAGCTGCATGATAACATCAGGCACCCTCTGACAAATAGCCAATTTTGCTTTACTAGTGAAGCGTCTGAGTGCAGGTGGCAATAAGTATGAAATTAACACGTGCATGGATCTACCATTCTTTTAAATAGGCTTGAGCTTTTGATTAGCATATCATTCCCATTTGTATGAATATTTGTTAATAGCACCACATTTTGACAATTTGCATCCGTTTTCAAAAATAACATTAAACATGAATTGTATATGGTACTTAAAAAAAATTCTCATCAAAATGTATTACGACCAGGTGTTTCCCGATTTTTGGCCACGACATGTTCACATTGTTAAATCATATAAAAAAACAATGTATTCATAAACAATATAATATAAATTTATGTATGTCTAGCCACATTTTATGTATTCCCTGGCATTTAATTGAAAGAGCTTAGGTTTGTTACTCTGATTTAGAATGAACCTTTAGTTTTTTTGTATTTGTGTACCACATTTTCACATTTTGAAATTGTATTGCAGTGTTTATAAAATGTTGTATTGAGCATAGGTCAAAATATGAATGTCTGGTTCACGTCACATAAATACAACTCTAGATGTGATGCTAATCAAGAGACTGGTAAAGTCTTATAGGGTGCAATTACACCTCTCTTTAATGATTTGTCCACTTGCTGACTGCATAAAAAATGTGTGGCATAGACATGGCATGTAAATTGCATTCAGCAGCATGTTTAAGATCATGTTTTCTTAATCCCGTGGTCACGAGTAAAACGTTAGTGTCTGCTTAAATGAGCAATGGGTTAGCACTTGTGACCGGTGTCTTGTGAGGCAGTTGTGAAAATTCCACATTTCCATAGCAAAGCAATGTCTCTTATCGACGATTACTGAACTTCCCACACATTGTTAAATGTGTTTAAAACTGGGGGAGGGGGGGATGGTGGGCTGAGTCAATCCCCAAAGGGAGATTTTAATTATCAAAGTTGCAGGTGTTTGAACAATTTCATCTGACATTCATTTTCAAGTTTGGGATTCGGTAGATCACACCTTACATATAATGGCTTACTGTTGAACTGTTATAGTACTTAGAGAATATTGAGTTAATATCACTATATGAGACCGTATACAGCAATATCCAGGATGCCAAAGTGCTTTTTAAAATGACGTTTACTGTAAATATTTTGCTTGTATTTTAATGTATATACGTATATCTCATGTAAATAACCTGTTAAATCCTGTTCTTTTCCACTTTGCCTCGGAGGATTTAGTTTGTTTCATGCATGGAATTAAAGAAAACCATCACTTACATCTTACTTGATAATGTATCACGGCAGCACATGTTTTGTGTAAAATATACCAGATTTTTGTATGTGCTATTTGAAAAAGGATTGGAACACTGGGTTAAATACAATACAATTTAACCTTACGAGAACCTTCAATTTAAAAACACGTTTATTATGTTAAACATGTTTACTATTTGCAAAAATTGCATTTCTACATGCGTGATCATTATTATTTTGGTTATTCGAATGCTGAGAATGACTTGTGAAATCCAATGAATGTATAATGAGAAATGTTAAAATTAATCAAACATTTTGGAGTTTAATTGCTTGATGCAGAACATCCATTCATTATTTTGGACGTGTTTAAGTGTGAACAGTCAAGTTCAGATCCATCATTGTATCTTAAGATGTACACCGTTACCAGTTTCCTGAAGTCCAAATCAAAGCACATGCACCCCAAATAAATTGTAATATTACTCTATACACATATACTATGTTTAGTCCGGAAGAAAATGCTGAAAAAACATCCACTTCATTGAGTATATTAACAAATAAAAAAGGTTTGCTTCTTAAACTTCCGCTTTTGCATTTTAAGAGCTCAGTCGATGTGTTTGTTGCTGTAACTTAACGTGACACAGCATGTGCAACCGAGGGGCAAGTCAACAGGCTCACCCAGAGGATGCCTCGAGGTGTGGGGAAGAATTCCACTTCGGAGGCCCCCTTTAACATCCGCACGTAAAACGCGAGGCCCTCTGAGGTCTGGGGCAAACTGACCATCCACTGGCCAGCTCTAAAAACTATACATGTGAATAGGAACATCAATGTGGGGTCCTTTGCTATGGATTCAGCATACTTATATGCACGTGTCAGGGGAAGTTGTGAGCATTATATCATGTAAATCTTATGCACAATTAAAAAAACATTAAACGTGATGTTGGATTATAATTGTATTCGCAATATGCCTAGTTACACACACTTGCTTTGCAGTTGTAAGATGTCTGTAGAAAACACATTCGTCTTTAAGGCTACTCTACTGAATTTGGTATACACGTTAGCCAATGCTTGTTTAACATCATAGACCGTGCGCCATGCAGTGAATGCTTGTGCTCCAAACTTATGTAAAGTAGCCCAGTATTTAGCACCACTGAGCCTTTTCACACGCGATATTTGTCGACTTCACCGGTTGTCGGCATTTTAAGTCGACCAGAAAACGCCACATGGCGGTTAGGTTGACGTGGATGCAAGTCCTGCACAAGTGAAAAGGCCCTTTGTCTCACACTGCATGCAAATGTTGCACATTTAATCATCGGGTCCGTGATATATTGTACGAATGGCGACATGTACTTTTAAATGTGTTTGTTAAAATGTCCTCATCCCGCTTGGCAAAACGAACATGCCCATGTTCACTAATTATTGATATTTTAGCTTTATACCAGATTAGCAAGGGGCCGTCCATAAATGACGTCACGCACCTGGGGGGGGGGGGGGTATCAGACATTTGTGACGATGTGTGACGAGGGGGAGGGTTTGAGACATGTGACGTCACATCAAAATGCGCAACTTTAAATAAATAGACAACACGTTCTGCTTAATTAAATATACTTTTTAATAAATGTTTTTTCCTACAACAGAGTGCAGCGCCACATTAAATGTGCACTACCATGGCAATAGTTTAAAGCGATTTGAAGCATGTTTTATTTTCAAAATGGAAATATGGTTTTGGGGGGGGGCAGAGCTTTGTGACGTTATATTTGAGGGGGGGTCTGACTTTTTGACGCCGTGTGACGAGGGGGGGGGGGTAAAAAAATCGGCCAAATTCATTTTACGTCATTCATGGACGGCCCCCAACAGTGGACAGCAGGGCTGATGATTGTTTTTTTAACATGTATTATTGTTTATAACGTGGTTTACACCATAAGTAGATCTTAAAATACATTATACTTGTTTGTATTACCATATAAGGCCGGTAAAGCGTTTTAAAAGTATATTATACTGTGCTGCCTGCCCCAAGAGTAAAAATGGCGATCCCAACGCTGCGCGGTTGCCAATGGTAACGCGTCACGTGGCGCCTGCACGTGACGGGCAGCGACAAAGAAACCAACGCGGCCGTCGGTCACACACTGCCTGACATGAGGACAATATACAAGAGGCGACGTTTCAGGCCATTGCCCTTTTATCGTGGCATTTATAACAAAAAGCACAAATAGAAAAGTATTTTAGTGGGCGGGTCCACGTCACGTGACTACCGGTGGGCGGGACCCGCGCCGTTGCCACGGGAGCAGCGTCCCCGTTGCCGCGGTAACGGCGAAGAACGAGGAGGAGGTGGAGAGGCCGCGGTTCGAGTGGCGCGCTGTGAGGTTGCTCCCCGTTGCAGGAGGAGATGGAGGCAGCGACTGAGTCCGTGATCACGCTCGGAGAGGCAGAGGGCTATGTGCAGTCGCTGGAACCATTCCCCATTCTGGAAATCGCCTCCCCCAGGTAATGGGGACCCGGCCCGACTCGCCCTTCACTCAACCACGGGGACTGTGCGATGCGAGTGTTGTGCGTAGTTGCTACTCAGGTTATATCGATATGAAAGAAGAATACTTAAGTGCAGCTTCACGTGCACCTAATCTGGCTGTGACACTTGAGTGTCCAGTCGATGCTATTACTTTTGTCTGTGTTCAGAATCAGAATATTTATACTGGATAAATCCGATGACTTATAAAGCTCTTAAATTTTGATTTAAAGCTTTCGTGACTGCAAGGATTCATCTTCTTGGTTCTTTCGGTAAAGTCACGTAGAATGATAATTTTATTGTCTTATAAAGCTCTTTTCACAGATGTCCAGTAGAAATATGTTGTACTGCAGATGCTTACCGACAGCACCTGTCTCGACAGTCTCCATTGTTCAATGATTGATTTTCTTTGTTGTGTGTGCGTGAGTAGGTGGATGATACAGCACACGTATATCGAGAAACTCAATATAGAGGCAATTTTGCAGGCAATCAATAAAGGTGATGAGTTTGTGAAGGAGTTTCTTGTTACATATGAAAAGGTGGGTCTTGCTCATGATGGATCGCTATTCAACTACACAGTGCATGCATCCGGATCAATAGGTCAAGGGATGGCTTCACGTAATTGCCAAAGATCTAAATGAATAATAACTTTATAACTTAAAATCTTGTATTTTCAAAATTTTGTCAGAAAAGGTATGCCATATATAAGAAACATAAAGTGAACAATGATAATCACAATATCACGATATTTTCCCAAACAGACAACTATGAACTATTGTACTATTATGGTGGACCTTACGACTACATACCACAGTATGTGAAGTGGTTTCATTTATCTGAATGTGAGAGTTTTACTAACTTTTAAAGCACATTGTCAATGTAACCATTATTTATTTTATGTTCAAACTAAATATCCATATATTCTTGGTTCTTTCGGTAAAGTCACGTTAAAGGGAAACAATAAAATAATAAAATATATATAAAACAATAAAATTCTCACGACGTTTCGACTGCAACACAAGCAGTCATCATCAGGTGTGAAAACCAACGGCAAGAACATTTGAAAGAAGTGTCGGTTTGTATTTATTTATTTTTAAACGTTAGCACCACGGATAGCGATTTGACAGTTTGTTTAGATGGACGAGTCCATCTATGTTCGGAAAAGAGGAGGGGGGAGACGAAAAATCAATGTATGCTGTCTGAAAGCCACCGTAAGTGTGAACAATCAATTAAGACCCGAAATGGTTTATCAAATCCTTCCAATGATTGCTAAGCCAGAATCCATCTTCTCGGTTGAAATTGTCTCTGTGTTTGTATATGTGGATAGCCTCATGAACGAATCTCTCATGGTAGCCAGATGGCTTGCAAATAACCTCTGTCTTTGAGAAGTCAATGTCATGTGAGCCTACTGAATTATAACAGTGATCTGCCACGGCCGAGGTGTTGGTCCTACCGTGTTTAAGGTCTGCTTTGTGTTCACGAATGCGGTCCGAGACATGTCGTTTGGTTTCTCCAATGTAACTACTACCAGAGGCAACTTAGTTTGTAGACACCAGGGTACTGTATGTCCGGAATCACATCTTTTACAGACGGAACCAGATCACGGATTTTATGTAATGTGTTGAATTGGACCTGGATCTTGTGTTTATTCAAGATTTTGGAGATCTTTTTTGTGATCCCCACAATGTAGGGTAAAGTGATGGTTTTGAAAGGCTCCTCAAGAGGGTCCTTCTTCATGGTTTTTAGTGATAGCTTTGTGGATTGTATAGTCGGAGTAACCATTAGCCTTAAGAGCTTGGTGTACGTGCTTGAGTTCACTGCCTATATGTTCCTGGTCGGATATGCATTGGGCTCTATGGTGCAGAGTCTTGATGAGATAATTTTTCCGTGATGGATGGTGGTGGGAATCCGGTTTCAGATAAGCAACCGTATGGGTAGCTTTCCTGTAGACAGAGTGGCTCATTGAACCATCAGGTCTCTTTTTTTATTAGGACATCCAAAAAAGGTAGCTTGCCATCTTTTTCGACTTCCATGGTAAATCTGATGGCTGGGTGTATGGAATTGATGTGGTCGAAAAATTGGTCTAGAGCAGGCCGGCCATGTGGCCAGATGACAAAAGTCTCATCCACGTACCTCTTCCATAAGGTTGGGCGCAGAGTGGTAATCTGGATGGCGTCAGTCTCAGATTTCTCCATGAAAATGTTGGCTATAACCGGAGATAGGGGGGAGCCCATTGGGGTGCCCTCAGTTTGTTTGTAGAAAGTTACATTCCAAGTGAAGTATGTATTGGTTAAGCAGTGTCTCACCTCATTGTTTAGTCCTTGATGAACCAAGTCTTCAATGATTGCGATGGTGTCAGGTACAGGAACTTTGGTGAATAAGGAAACTACATCAAAACTGACAAGCAGGTGGTCTGGGGACAGGGAAATACCCTTGATTGTCGATACCAGGTGAGTAGCATTTTGTACCGCAGAGATGGTTTTCCAGTGAAAGGCCACAAGATTTCAGACAGAAAACAAGCCAGTTTGTAGGTGGGGGAGTTGATAGTAGAGATGATGGGACGAAGGGGTGTATCTACTTTATGTATTTTTGGTAAGCCGTATAATCTTGGTGGCCTGGCAGCAGAAGGTTTCAACGAAGACTTTAGTTTGATCAATTAATGCGGTTGAATCAGGAATTATTTTGTTGGTTTGTGTGATGAGGCTGTTGGTGGGATCTATTTTTATTTTTGTATAGCTGCCATCGTCGAGTAATTCTTTAATTTTGTTGTTATATTCTATTTTATCCATGATGACAGTAGCATTGCCCTTGTTGGCTGAGAGGATTACAACGTCATCCCTCTTTTTTAATTTATATAATTCAAAACGCTCATCTTTGCTGAGGTTGCTAGCTGGCATCTTAGCGATTTTGAGGGTTGCAGCGATTTCAGATCTTGCTACGTCTGCAGCGATGTGACCCAGGCCCTTGAGAGCCACGTCTACTTGGGCAATGATATCATTAACTGGTATGTGTTTAGGTGTGACTGCAAAGTTTAGACCTTTAGCTAAAACGGATTTCAGACCATCGGAAATGGAACTGTTACTGCGATTAATTACGACTTTGTTAACGTCTAGCTTTTTGGTGTGTGGGTCCGGTCTTTTGTTGGATAGGAGGTTAAATTTGGAAATCAGGTTGTCCTTACATTTGGTCGACATAGTAGCAGCTGAAGAGGCAGTTATATTGTTTACGTGTCCCCAATCCGATGTGGACATTGTTGCCGTCAACGATAAGTGTGATTTGTAGAGTGTCTTGTCTAACTGATCTAGTTCGGTGCGTATAAGTCTGATTTGCTCTGAGATAAGAGCTAAGCTAGTTTTGAAAATAATTCGTTTCGCATTAGAAGAAGTTACAGCAGCAGAGGTCAGTGTAAATGCGATTGGTATTACCCCAGAGTCGCGGCATCTCTTCAGAAAGGTGAGAGACTCGATCAGCTGAGCCTTCTTTTCCCAGAGTTTGTTGAAGGATCTTAAAGTTATGTGGAAACCCTCCCCATAGAGGCGGTTAAATTTTGATTTAAAGCTTTCAAAACGTGAGAATTTTATTGTTTTATATATTTTATTGTTTCCCTTCAACGTGACTTTACCGAAAGAACCAAGAATATGAATCACTGCAGTCACGAAAGCTTTAAATCAAAATTTAAATATCCATATATTATACTCTTTTGGTCTTTCGGTAAAGTCACGTAGATTAAAAAATATATAGTAATATATTAATCCATATATTAATCGTTCCTTCATGTTTATCTTTTCAGACATGCGTCCTTGTCCATGAGGTTTTAGCAATAGAGGTTTGGAAGCGAAAAATATTCCCTATTATTTGTCGTGTGAAAGATTTTGAAACGAAAGCGACATTTCCCATATACATGGTGGTAAGTCACAAAGCACTCTTGTTGGTTTGTTTCTTTTCTCAATTTACACTCACCCTCTTGGTGAATGCAGAGGAGTCGTGGCTTTTATTTAAACGATTCACGACTTCAGAGCTCTGACACATTACCTGTGTGACCCAGAGCACAATCTATCACTGTCTCGCCACCTGGATAGCCAATAACTACAACTCAATGTGGATACAACTCAGGTGACCACCTTAGCACCTTCCACCCTCCCCCTTATCAGTCCTTTTCCCCTATAACTCTTCATACACCACCATTCAGCCGTCCGTGCAGACCAATATGATATAATAACCACTGCGTCATCTCTCCTTCGTGCTTCATACACGCCACGGCCACATCATTGATCCCTTTCTCTTCCAGAACGTTAGTGAAATTCACATTTCCTTCCAACTTCCATTTGGCACTCCACGCATTAACACCCTTGTCACCTCATGCCCCAATAATTCATATATCATTTCTAGTCTCCCATTCTCCTACCTCGCACCTCTTCAATCTGTCCCAACACTGCAGCTAGGATTGTTCACCAATTCCTCTGCTTTATTCCCATCTGCCCGTCCCTTGTTGCTTTTCACTGCCTTTCTATTCAACTGTGTTTTCACTTCAAACGCTCTCAAGAGTGTATACATATCTCCCATTCTCAGCTGCTGCCTACCTCTACTCTCTGGTCTTCTTGAATAATCTTTGTGAGAGAGAGTACCTCCTTACCGGACTCCCCTTCTGACATATTTTGTTAAATTGCACATGTATAAAATACAGCTCAAACACTTTTATATTTTTCAGATTCGTCATGAGGCAACCATAGTGAACCTGCTTGAAACTGTCTTGTACCATAAGGTATGCGATACATATGCACGTAATTTTCTCTGAAGTTTATTTACACACTTACTACACTGTATGACTATTGTATACACAATGTCAGGTTCCCCAAGCACCCTCTTCGGTGCAAATTCAAAAGTGTTCATTGCCGCCAATGATTCTGCATTCACCTTCCTCAGTTAATGGCCGGCAGGTGGCTCAGCAGTAGCGTTGCGAGTTGGTTTGGGGGGGTTCATGCAGCCCATCATCATCCCTCTGGTGTTGAAAAATTAGGACCACGTTGTAAGGAAATCAACAGTGCTTGTCCAGTAGATAGACTCACCTCCGCCTTAGGAATGTGGAATTTCCACCCGTTTCCCAGGGCTGTAACAGGAGATGAACACCACCTCAGTGCTCATTTGAGCACAACATCACTGACTTTTGTTTGGATAGGTGTTGTAATGTTTAAAAATTTAGCAGGACATGAATATTACGTAGCATATCCAGAATCTCAATACACCGTCTCAATATAACGTCATGCCGTGTGCAGTACTTCACAGGGTCTTTTACTCCTATTCAATTTCCATCAAGTGTTAGCAGAGTGTCACACGACAAAGGTTTGTGCTATTAAAAGCATTTTTAATTGACTGCAGTGACTCAACCTAGCAGGAATAGCAATTAAATAAGATGTCAAAGGACATCTCCCACTGTTCAAATTTCATTATTTGACTACCTTTCCAAATGCAGTTTCGAACTGTAAAGGCAAGCACAGGACTAGAATCTTCATATCCTGACACCATCTTTCCATTATCAGAGTTAAAGTAAAAGTATCACTCTACTGAAAGTAGCACGGGGAAGTGCTCATCTCTAATTGTAGCCGTAAACTCATGGTGCTAATTCCACATTGCTATGGCAGGCTATTCACTCTGTGGGACGACTGTTTATATCCCTCAATAACTGTACTAATTTTATGAACCATGCATATATGATACACTAAGTTGACCCTCGACCCTGATTTGAACTTGCAACCTTCTGACTGTGAGTCAGACACTCTTACCTACTTGCTGTATTCCCACCTTCATCCCATATCTTAGCCCTGTTAGTGGGTATCTTCACCTATAATACACCTTGCCTCCAAAGTGCGGGATGACCTGGCCATAGCATCCAGTTAGTGTGTGTGCATGCATGCCTACATTGTAGGCAGCAGAGGGCAGTGCAGCAAAATAACTGGACGGTGGCATACCGTACTTCTATTTTCCCACATCTATGCTTCCCACCTTCACCAATCCACACTGATTAGCAATCAAATCACCCCCCCCCCCCAATCTGGACGGTGTCCAGCAGAGCACTGACAAAGGACTGTTCATTTGCATACCCATGCACGTCTGTTTATAAGTGACACGTGTGGAACTGTGGGTGTTGTAGGACGCAGTGGGGTCTCTGGACGATCAGGCACTAGACCTGCTGGACTACGCGCACGGAAAGGTGACGATGTTGGTGGCGCGGCACCAGCAAGGGCAGTTCCAACCAGAGAACGCGCGTGACAAACCATCGCCCATCCACGCCTCCTCCTTAGAGGTACCCGTGTGCGGTTACCCCTACAATAGGACGCACTGTTCAATAACATCGTATGAACAATATAACAAAAAAAATCATGCTTAAATTGATTTGTGAACCAGAATCATAACAAAAGCTATGGTGGAGCACCTGACTCACTTTAAAGTCTTATTTCTCATGAATAAAGTTCTAACCGTTTGTCAGACAGCCCAGAATGTATCTCGGTATGTTTCTCCAAAAGAACAAATATAAATGTTCTGTGTTGCATCTTCCTTTAATGTTATAAATTCACAACCCTATTGTACATCTGTTTTTCATGGAAATGTATCTTTTTCTTAAATTGTGATGATGTCTTCTCAATGCAATAATGCAATATGCACATGCATTTTTCAGTTATCTACTTACATTAACACCCGGTTCAGTAAAATTTTTGAAAAACCTATCTTTTTCAGGGAGACCAGTGTGATTATTCTGTCCATGAAGTTAATCAAAGCAAGTTTTTCATCTCTGCCATTGTGGGAGTTTTCATTGGCACTTGTGTCTTTGTTATGACAGGAGGTGAAGCAGCAGAGCGATGATTTGGAGTTTAATATTTCTCTGAAGTGTGTCTCGATTCTACGGTACTTGATTGATTACCTGGACAGGTGATTAACAGTAACCTTACAGCAGACATAGCACACGTAATTTTTGGAATATTTTACCAGTCTTAAGATATTTAATTGCTTCATACCAAGTGGGCTAAAGATATTTTCCATTTTAAAAAATACACCACATTTCTACAGCAGGAGCCAATGTCTAGATCGTACAACCACTGTATAATTTAACATATAATATTTACAGTAAATTGTTATATAGCTATATACATTAAAAGTATTATTTGTCGACAAACACTTTTTTGGGTTTTATGTTTGCATATTTTTTTTACAAATATTTTTCTTTGGCATTTCTAATTTGCATAAAAATAAACTCTGCACTTCAGATTAGTAATGTTTTTTCCATCTGAACAAATTACATTGTTGCACTAATTAGTCATACATTAAATATTCTGCCCAAGAGAATGATAATCTCACATGTGATATATTTTTTACTGCAACTTCAATGGAAATAGATGTCAAGCAACAATAGTGTATCTCTGCTCAAATGAGCAATGGGTATATGCTGATGTTTTTTTAGAAAATTGTGGACATTCCACATTTCCATAGTGGTGGGCAGTCTTTCCATAGGATTATCATTGCTAACTTCCCATAAAGTAGAACTAGTTTTATCTGCTCTGGAAGGATAACAGGCTGAGTCAACCCCGAACAACTATTTGAACTCACAGCCTTCTATTTATATTCTTGGTTCTTTCGGTAAAGTCACGCAAAAGGGAAACAATAAGACAACAAAAATATAAAACAAGAAAATTCTCACGACGTTTCGACTGCAACACAAGCAATCATCAGGTGTGAAAACCACACCTGATGATGCGTGACTTTACTGAAAGAATCAAGAATATGAATCCCTGCAGTCACGAAAGCTTTAAATCAAAAAGCCTTCTATTTGTGAATCGAGTGCTGTAATCGCTGCATCACTTGGCAGATTAAACTGTGGTACCTATGTACACGTGCTGGCTGAGTGGTTAAGTCGAATGAATGTGGCTGTGTCATTAATTATTTTTCCTGTTACATTGCCCACAGCCTGCCGCTGTCTGTGCACACGCGCATGCTCAACACGCACAACGTGCCGGTGCTGCTGGTGCAACTATTAAACAATTGCCCCTGGATCCGCACCACCAAGGACGGTTTGTGTTCTCATGACCATGCCACTAGCAATGAGCGGAGGGTCTACATCCACTGAATTACAAGGGCCGTTGGTCTCGCATGAGGGCACTAGCAATGAGGGATTTTCTTCCAGTTTGGAATCAGACACGGATACCACAATTTCATAATTCGTGATTACAGAATATTCAATTCCACAAGACTTTATGATTATAGAATTGCAAACACGGAATTGTCTGTGAAATAGATGGTAATTGGTACAATTGATTTTCTCAATAATTCCCGAATTTCCTTTACAATGGATAGGCTATCTCGGAACTGTCTTGACATTGCTGAGCAATTTGAGAACAAGTCTCTCACACACAGTGATCATTAATGTTTTACAAGATTGGTTTGCGACATATGGATTATCGAAACCATTTATACTTATAAATATTAACTCTCAGAGCTGGACTCGGTTGAATTGAAATGAAGATTTTATATATGTTTTCAATCGGTTTAAAAAAACATGCATTCCAAAAGACGCCGCTTTTTTCATAGATACAAACCTCGACTCTATCCCAGGTCATCCTACATGAGTTTCAATCTACGTTGTAGAGAACAGACCTTAACGTTATGGTTAGGCACACAGTTCTAGCGCTGTATTGACACAATTAAGTCCCTCCAGTATATTTAAATATTGAATTGCTGTGATGTCACCGGAGTTATGACAGAGTTATGACATAGTGCCTGACCATCATTTTGAAGTAATTTTTCTCATTGATGAAGCATCCGTTAATGTTGGACAATCCAGGACACACTGACTCGGTATGTATCTACAAGATAAGAGCTACAGTTAACTCTCGATAATTATTTGTGAGAAGATTATCTGCGTTGTGGATTCAAGCGTTCTTGTGAGAAAAAATATATTTGTGCATGCACACTTGTCCTATTATTTCTAGATTTGAAGCTTTCATGACTGCAAGGATCCATACTCTTTGGTTCTATTCGGTAAAGTCACGTAGGTGACTTTATCGAATAGAACCAAATAACTCACCCAAATAACCACAAACATGTTTACAAGTAAACTGATAATCTACGATGGTAGATTATGTTTTTCCAGCCGGTTTTAACGACACATTTATATATTTAAGCGATCTAACCCAAAAAACCTCTATTATGGAATCTACATATGTTTTGCATTATCCATGTTTTAGTTTTATTCGGGCCACCGCTTCCTTCCCCATTTCTCAAGATAATCAAGAGTTTACTCTTTTATGGATTCCATATTTATTTAAACCATCAACTCCCTACACTTGAGGACTGTGTTCTAATCACAGATTGCTGCCAATTTTACTTCTCCCGAGGGAGCCTCAGCAGTGCTGCTTTACTATCCTCATCGTTTCACTAACACTGGGACTTGAACAATCAGGTGCTGTGGAACTCTATGTGGACAACGGGTGGCGTGCGCGGAGCAGTGACGAAGTCTTTAAGTTGTCTAAACTCGATGGTCAGCTGTGGATCGCCATCTACAGCCTCTTGCTGCACAAGGATAGCCTGCGCAAGTACGACTGTAATGCCTACAACAAAGGCCAGCTGCTGAAGGTGTGTCGATGTTTGTTGCTTTTTATTCTTCTCCTAATTATATTTCAATTATGGCATCAGCATCACATCATGAGACACATCTGTTTGGAGCACTTGCAGAAAGAAGTGCATCAATATCAACGTCTGTGAGGTGGCATCAGTATATCATTATGAGTGTAACTGCTTTTCGAGAGGCTTTTCTCTCATTAACGAAGTTTCAAATTCTTTTTGGAGAGCCCAGGGCACACCCTTTATATGTTCATTCTGCTGGAGTTGATCATTTTTCTGGAGCCAATAAAATCAGTACCACTTGCCGTAAAATGTACAGTGAGGGAAGAAAGTATTTGATCCCCTGCTTATTTTGTACGTTTGCCCACTGACAAAGAAATGATCAGTCTATAATTGTAATGGTAGGTTTATTTGAACAGTGAGAGACAGAATAACAACAACAAAATCCAGAAAAACGCATTTCAAAAATGTTATAAATTGATTTGCATTTTAATGAGGGAAATAAGTATTTGACCCCTCTGCAAAACATGACTTAGTACTTGGTAGCAAAACAATTGTTGGCAATCACAGAGGTCAGACGTTTCTTGTAGTTGGCCACCAGGTTTGCACACATCTCAGGAGGGATTTTGTCCCACTCCTCTTTGCAGATCTTCTCCAAGTCATTAAGGTTTCGAGGCTGACGTTTGGCAACTCGAACCTTCAGCTCCCTCCACATATTTTCTATGGGATTAAGGTCTGGAGACTGGCTAGGCCACTCCAGGACCTTAATGTGCTTCTTCTTGAGCCACTCCTTTGTTGCCTTGGCCGTGTGTTTTGGGTCATTGTCATGCTGGAATACCCATCCACGACCCATTTTCAATGCCCTGGCTGAGGGAAGGAGGTTCTCGCCCAAGATTTGACGGTACATGGCCCCGTCCATCGTCCCTTTGATGCGGTGAAGTTGTCCTGTCCCCTTAGCAGAAAAACACCCCCAAAGCATAATGTTTACACCTCCATGTTTGATGGTGGGGATGGTGTTCTTGGGGTCATAGGCAGCATTCCTCCTCCAAACACGGCGAGTTGAGTTGATGCCAAAGAGCTCCATTTTTTTCTCATCTGACCACAACAGATTTACCCAATTGTCCTCTGAATCATTCAGATGTTCATTGGCAAACTTCAGACGGGCATGTATGTGCTTTCTTGAGCAGGGGGACCTTGCGGGCACTGCAGGATTTCAGTCCTTCACGGCGTAGTGTGTTACCAATTGTTTTCTTGGTGACTGTGGTCCCAGCTGCCTTGAGATCATTGACAAGATCCTCCCGTGCAGTTCTGGGCTGATTCCTCACCGTTCTCATGATCATTGCAACTCCACGAGGTGAGATCTTGCATGGAGCCCCAGGCCGAGGGAGATTGACAGTTCTTTTGTGTTTCTTCCATTTGCTAATAATCGCACCAACTGTTGTCACCTTCTCACCAAGCTGCTTGGCAATGGTCTTGTAGCCCATTCCAGCCTTGTGTAGGTCTACAATCGTGTCCCTGACATCCTTGGAGAGCTCTTTGGTCTTGGCCATGGTGGAGAGTTTGGAATCTGATTGATTGCTTCTGTGGACAGGTGTATTTTATACAGGTACCAAGCTGAGATTAGGAGTACTCCCTTTAAGAGTGTGCTCCTAATCTCAGCTCGTTACCTGTATAAAAGACACCTGGGAGCCAGAAATCTTTCTGATTGAGAGGGGGTCAAATACTTATTTCCCTCATTAAAATGCAAATCAATTTATAACATTTTTGACATGCGTTTTTCTGGATTTTGTTGTTATTCTGTCTCTCACTGTTCAAATAAACCTACCATTAAAATTAAAGACTGATCATTTCTTTGTCAGTAGACAAACGTACAAAATCAGCAGGGGATCAAATACTTTTTTTCCCTCACTGTATAGTGCAGTTGTGTGGAGTAATTGGATCTCGCCATGGGATTGTGGAATGTCCATCACTGTTTTTTGACTGTAAGTGGAAGGTGAATGCCATGGGGACATAATTTTGTTTTTTTGTGTGTCCCTCCCAAGGTGTATTTGTTACTACGTATTGCAAATCCTTGTCCATGACTGATATAATGTGAATAGATTTGCTGTGTTTTTCTCGTTGTAGCTCCGTGGATTTCTGACGGAAGTGCTGGTCGATCAGTTGCCTTGTCTGATGGACCTACAAAAGTTTCTCAATCACCTGGCCATGGTGGATCCCGCACCTCCCAAGAAAGACCTTATTATTGAGCAGGTAATAACAGCTATGGTTAATTGATCGCCAATCCAGCTTTCAAGTTGCTGGATAATTATATAGCAACTTGGATTGGCGGATCACATCCCATCATGTGTGTGAGTCACCAAACCTATAAGACATGTTGTCTGTGGAGGAGAAATATAGACAGTAGGCCGCTGACCGATCTTTGCATAGATTGCACGTGAGTTGTTTCTTCTTCTAGGGACTGTTTTGTTCTGACATTAAAAAACTTTGGATACTCAGTAATTGTGTCATGCATTAATAAAGAATTGCAGTGCTCTTATTTTTACGATGATGGGAAACGTGACTTAAAATACTAAGAATCTTTCTGGCTTGTGTTTTCCAATTCTTCAAATTACAGTGCAATTTTTCAGTTATTCCCATGACATCATTTTGTAAATATGAGGCTTAAAAAAAGAGTAGACTAGCCTAGATTATTGCGAGTACGCTTATATAAATCTTTTGAAAACTTAACACTCTAAAACTAAGATAAAAATCCAAAGTATATCATCTCTAATTTTGCTATCATTTAAATAAAGTAAGCCTTATTAATTTGTCACTGGTGAAATGCATGGCTGGGAAATGTGACTTATGCTCAATCTATATATATAAAAGGGAAATTTGTGATTATGTGTGTCTTTTAAAATGTTTAGCGTACTTCCCGACATGCAACAAACTTTAAATTTGCCATGTGGGTACTTTCCAGACTGTACACCATGCAAAAATTATAAAAATTGACTTTTGTATATTTTTTTTTGGGGGGGGGGCGCAATAATGCATATATTTTGCACGGCAAGTCAGCTGTGACGTCACATCTCTGTCATGTCACCCGCAAGCGGAAGCATCACGCAGTGTGCCTGCTCATGTCACGTAAAATACTGTAATGTTTCTCTGGAAAGCCAACATCCACTAAATATTGAGGCAATTTACAAACTTGTACATAATTGAGTACATTATTGTAATAAAAAATATTGTGAGATCGTTTCACAGAAGATGGCGTTGTGAAACGAATTATAAACACAGAAATATGGATTCAACACTCTTTACAAAATTTGTTGAGTATCTTAGAGTTGCTTAGATATTTGGCCACACCATCAATGGTGCCTTACTCATTCTAGATTTCAGTAACTTCCTTATGGCTTTGAATTTTGTTTCAGAAATAGGTTTTCCATGGACTAAGCGTAGTAGTGCACACTAATGTTGTAAGATCGATAATGTAATACTGCAGCCATTATGCACCAGACATATGCATTTAATCAAATTAAATATTTCAGGAAATGCCCATGTCCATTCATACATAATAAAGGTTTTTGGGTTAGAATGCGTTATTTATAAATGTGTCGTAACCCTCCACCACCCGACATGGCCAATCAGTAAAAAATGTGTCACGTCTTTTTTCAGTTTCAGTTTTCATTTATTTGGTATAGCCCTGTGAGCCATTCGGCTCTTGAATCGGGTGCAACCGCAACAAACAAAAAAACAAAAACATGAACAAGAAAGCCTCTTAACAAAAAATCCAGGAAAAAACTGCAAAGTCTTGCAGAAAAAAAGCACCGTACACCAACGCTGTGCAAAAATCCCAGTGGGATGCAAGTCAAACACTTGCCACTATCATTCAAACCCATTGGTGAAAAATAACAAAGTTTTTGTTTACATTATAATCTAATGTTTATGCAATAACTGGGGGCTTATGGGACCCCGGGGTCCCACCATAAGGTTCTAATATTCAAGTGTGTACTACTCTTTCTATCTCTACCTACTCTATTTATCCCCATTTCCTTTCCTTACAATTGCTTCTTAATTGTTTCCTATAGAGGTCCCTTTTTGTCTTAATATGTTTATGTCGGTCATATGGATGCAGTATAACCTGGTGCTATTCTTTGCTGTATTTGTTTTGAAAATATAAATTAAATTTAAAGTGTATACGTTTACAAAAGACAAATATTTCACTGCTTTAGCCCACCGGTGTGTTGAAGAGTGAATCCACAACATTTACAATTTTTGAGTACGACGTTTCACTGGTAATTACATCTAGCATCATCGGGCAATTTGCTAGCATAGTGAGGCCCTTCACCTGCTCCTGGTCTTAAATAGAGCAGCAGGGTGACGTCATCATTTAACCCAATCAGGTGCAGAGTGGCTAAAGTAGTGAACTATTTGTCTTTTGTCGTGACACATTTCTTACTGATTGGCCGTGTCGGGTGGTGGAGGGTTGCGACACATTTATAAATAACCTTTATTATGAATAATATTGGTCGTGAAAGCCTCCATTAATACATTTTGTGTTTACTGACCGAATTGGAAAAACGTATTTTAGTATGGCTTATGATACAATAATAATATTAATTCTTTATTCATCTGACACAGCCTCAATGAGTTTCAAGATAATTTATTGGGGGAGTGGTGCTTGGTAATTTGGGCCAATTTCTAGTTGAATATTTGTTTCTTGGAAGAAACCAAAATTACAGGAGAACCACACATTTAGGAGGAGACAATATAAACATTGTATGCGGAGTATAAATACAGGAGGAAAGCTTGGTATCTGCATTTAATGTGTTTTCTTTATTTTAGTTATTACTCTACGTGTGTAGAGGTCATGTATGTTTGTCTCTAAAGCACTGGTTGCCAGATGTGAACCTCCACACCGGGCATTAATGCTCTTGTTGGGAGAGAGTGATATATTTTGGTCTCTAGTTGTAATATCTTTGTTTTTAACTCCTTTTGACTGTCCTTCACACGTTCAGCACTTTAGTTAACAGCTGTGGGTTTGTTTGTACAAATTATAATGAGATTATATCCTTAGTGTACATTATTTCGTTGCACTGTTACGTAATGCAATCAGGCTTTTTGCACTTTGTTTAATGAAACTCAGCGTTTGTGCCAATGTGTCGTGCTAAGTATGAAAGGCTGTACCAGGCTGCAGTGAGTGCATTTTACACATGCAATCTTTACTGGTATTGTTGCCGTTTTCATATGAACTGTATGTCAGCGTGTTGCTTACATTTGGGGAATATCAAATGCAAGAGCACATCTAATGGTACTTGTCTTTTTTATCTGCATATTAATAACAGTATTTTTTTAAAGATGTGACTTGAAAATGTTTATGGTTTTTGAATACTAATGAAGTCAGTCTCCTAATAATTGCACAGTCTTGGCGAAAGTTATCATTTACCATTGTCAAGTAACGTATATCTGGTGTGCAAGATGTTCAATATACATACATACAGCACGGAATATAACTTGCCACTTATTGTATTTAGGATTTGTATTTTCTGAGTGCTCAAATGCATGCATTTCAAAGCGATTTCCAATTGGTGTGAGACAAACATTACACAAGGAAACACAAGGTATAAAAATAACGTCTAGAATAACATTGAGTAGCAACAGGAAATATCAAGAATCGTATGAATGTTTGAATGGATCAAATTCAAAATATACCTTTCATAAATAATTAAACAAAGAAGTATTTTCATTATGTTTGGCCTCACACAAGTGTGCCTTTAAAAAGGTAAACTGTCTTCTGCTTTTTGGTTAACGGAATTTCAACACAGGGAATTGGGTTACTGTATTTGCAGGGTGTAATAAGATTATGTGTTGATGGTAATGCACCATCTTCTCTTATTTCATGTCAAATTAATGAAAACATCTGGATAAGAGTGACTTTAAAGCATGGATGGATTTATGAGCTACAGTAAGGAATCTTAGTTCAATTTCACCAGGAAAGAGGTTGTCAAACTTGCTATTTGGACATGGTTGTGATTGTAATTCTTCAGATATCTTTTTGTATGTTATGCTGTCCGGATAAATATTCCATAACCTTACATCTGCAATAATTACCAGATATGGACGACAGCTAATTTCACTTTTTTTTCCTTTTTCAAAAGATCCCGGAAATTCGGGAAAAATTCCTGCGTGAAAATGAGGACAAGTGGAAAGCCATTGCTAAGTACCAGATGAAGAATGCCTTCACTCCATCAGAAACGGAGCTTCGGCAGCAAGCTCAAAGGTCTACAACCACACTGACTGTACCCACAATATTGCTTTTGTTGGTCAAAGGTAAAGGTGCATCCCTACAATTACTTGCTCACACCACTGCTGGCGGAATAGCCTCCACTAGAGGGCAATTTGCCCGATTCTTCCACACTGGCCAGAATTCTTGGGAGAGTATCTGCACTACCCCACCACACGCAACCTGACGTTTTGTGGGTAGTGTTGTCTTATAATTGTTTCATTGGCTGTTATGCAGGTGGGTGGAGATGTACAAATCGGATGTGATGGAGGCCCTGCTGCCGGAGGAGGCGCGCTGCTGCGTGTGCGGAGCCACGGCAAAGAAGCGCTGCTCGCGCTGCCGCAATGAGTGGTACTGCCGGAGGTAAAGTCACGGCCATAGCTCTCCGCACCAGCCACAGAGGGGTTCTGTTGTCTGGCAAGGATGAGACTTCACAAAACCACAGAAGAGTGTGGTGAATCGCACTCTACTGGGCTGCCTTTGGGCCCAGCATCTAAGGTTGAGACACTTGACGATGTGCACCAGGTTCTGGGTTGCGTGACGTTAATCCTGATTTTACAAAAATATTTCAATGCATGCCCAACAATACCAAAACTCTAACCCAGCCTATTTATGTGTTGGTTCCAAAATTGCCGGGTTTTCACAGATTTAGATAGCGCCATCATATCCCAGCTCTGCTTCCCAATGCTCTGTGAGCCATGAGGCTCCGTGGGTTTGGCCCCTTCTGTTCCAATTGCTCATCTACCCTGACAGCTAGAGGTTAAGGGTCAGAAAGTAGTCTTGAATTAGATGTTTAACAAAAGCATGGGTTAGCTTAGATGTTTTTTATTTGAAAATCAGTTTTGTTATCTTATATTGTGCACAATATTTAGAACACTGATATGGCCAAGAAGTTGAACCGAGCTGGTGAGGTCACGGTGCATACGTATCACTTGTGCGTTGACCCCATAAAGTTACAATCGGTTCTGGGGATGACCCAGCTCAATGTGCAGTTTGAGAAGCAAGCTTGGAGGCTATATTGGGGAAACGGCTGTTTCAGCTGGGGTGGGCTGCCATGAGAATTCGAGCTCCTAGACTTGGCTTAGTGCCAGCATAGAGCCAGCATTGATCATGGGAACAGCCTGGGCCCCTTCTAGGTGACTTGAAATATGTCAATCTTGTGGCGTGTGAACATCTGCACGAGGGAAATCATATATGATGTCGCTCATGTTAAATGCTTGCAAATAACATTTTATTCCAATTCAAAGATAATTCTAACGTTGAGATTTTGTCTTTGGTTGTGCAGGGAGTGTCAGGTGCAGCACTGGCCAAAGCACAAGAACGTGTGCAGTCTGTTGGTTGAGGAGCTCAGTAAGAAGCTCACTCTTGCAGAGTGAGCCACATGCTGGTGAGTAGATTACTGGGTGCATGTTCTGACTGGTAACATGACCCGAAGAGCAAAGTCATCGAAGTCTGTAAGGCTGAAGTTATCACCATCGGCATCATTAACAAGCACTGCTTTATAGATCAACAATAATATTCATATAAACCAATGTTTGGACAATGGCCTTTCAGAGAAAAGACAGTGCTAAAGAGGTAATTTATCAACTGTTATGTTATTTATATTTCTCAATTACAAGCCAGTGTTTGGCAACATTGTCAACAGTGGTTTTACAATGGAAAGAATCGCCCTTGCCACAGAAATTTGGAATTTTCACCACTGGATCAGGGGCACAAATAGGTGAAATAAGTGCTGTCCCTAACCTCATTTAAGTAGAGGTGATTTGGCATGACAATCACGGTATTGTATTTATTAATGACAATGGTGGGATCATATGACCAACTTGTATTTGCAAAACACTGCCAATGCAGTCCTCAAAATGATATCGTTTCTCCATATGCATTTTTTTGGATGTAATTGTTGCTTTGAGAAACAAAAGCTATCGACTTTTACAGAATCCACTAGATTACTCTTGATATTTTTATGGTACGAGACGATAATTTGAGTTTCTACATAATTAAACACAGTTACCCAGTAAATATGTTTACCATTTAGTGTGTACCAGGTGCATAGTACAGACATTGATCAGCATTGCAATTATTTAACTCCAATGACAATTCAATTTATTGACCTTCATTTTGTTTTATGTAAGTGAATTGACAATTATAGCTGTTGCAACATAGTCCTAAGACCAAACTATAAGTTGGCCTGTGAAAGGCAGTACAGAAAATAGGTTGTTGACCTATTCTGTTTAATTACTGTTAACTCGTCATATCGCTAAGTTTGATCCGTGAATTTCAATGTACTCCCATATCCAAAAAATACCTCCTAAAGAATTTACCCAACATCTAGGAAAGACCTATAAATTTCAAAAGCCCTTTTTTGGATAATGCACAAATAAAAGTAATCAGATTTCAAATTCACATTTCAATTAACTCAGAGGAGTGATGCCACGTGAGACATTAATAACGCCATCTCCTTCCAGTGCCCGACTGCTGAGAATGGATATAAATACGCTCATACATTACCTCTTCCTGCCCTTACCTCCAGGGGAATTTAACACCAAGCAATCGTTAAAAAAACACATTAACATTTCTACTGACCCTTACATGGAAATGTATAAAACGTAACAGCATATCGAATAGTTAACAAAGCACATCTCTAAAAAGAACTAAGACTGTGAGATAAATGAGATAATTACCTAAATAACATAAATACTCAATTGCTTTTCTGTTTGTACAAGAGCCTGGATGTGGGTTTTTTTCATCACAGCTGCTAAGAACAGGTCCAAAGACCTAAAATGCAAAGTGGCCAGAAACCAAGGGCATTATTGTAGTATAGCATATAGGAATTTACCTACTTCATAAAAAGAGCAAGGTTATAGGAGCTGGGCTAGAGAGATGACGGGAGTGAGTTTCGTGAAGTGCATGTGCTTATGGAGACGAAATGGTGAAAGTCTCCCTATAAATATCTCAGTGCTCCATAATAACAATACCCATGCTTGGTTGTCAACATTGCTGACTCAGACTGATATAACGGCATCCAGAGACCTTATTATAGATCTGTGCATTCCGAGTGTTGGTGGATATGTTTGTATCCAACAGTGTGCTTAGTTAATTGACTTGACCCATGTACATATGGCAGACTAGCAGATTCAAATGTGGGATGTTAAACATACATCGTAATATCTCAGTTACCCATAATAACAATAACCACACTTGGCTCTCAACAATCGCCGACTAAGACTAATATAACAGCATCTAGAGGCCTTATTATATAATGTATTCATTGCAAGTATTAGTAGATACATATTTGTTAACTGCGCAGCTGTGCATAACATTTAAAAAAAATAAGCGCTCTTGCCTTACAGATTTAGAATTTTCATATTCACCATCTGAATATTTTAAAGTTATCTTAGTGCAATGCTAATGCTATGTATTGGGCTAATTTTTGATGACTTAACGATTAAACCTGTTCAGGATGCTTCATGTGACTGTCAAGACAAGTCACATGGCACGGACTATTCCAACATGCCAGTGAATTAATGCACAGTAATGCGTGTACTGTATGTGGTTATTGCCCACTTGTCATGCACAGCCACAGCCTTGGAAGACTTAAATACAAACAATGAATTTGTCATGCAATATATCAATTATAGTTTTATACATTGCATGGAATTTATATATGAACAGACACAATCCACAACATGTTACACGTCGACCAAACCAAAAAGAATATAAAATGCCTAATAATAAGTATGTGGCCTTTTTATAGCATTGTCAGAAAACTTTGTGGCGGTAGCAACCCACGATTTTTGTTGCCAAGGACTGAGCGACAACCTTGAATGTCAATGTTCGTACATTTACAGCAGCATCGTGGCCCTAACTGCAGATCAATCTTTAATAGGCTACAGGATACTTTGTGAACAAGGACAACCAGGGAGGAATGTTTTTTTCCCCCGAATGCTGCAACGTGACTACCGTGCACTCGTCTAGATTCACGGTGAAACATTATCTGAATATTGGCAGTCTTAGAGTCACATCTTAATGAAAGCCATTCATTGTTGGCAGAAGTTAAATGTATTTGTTGACACTTGCCTTAGTTTTGATTTAAAGCTTTCGTGACTGCAGGGATTCATATTCTTGGTTCTTTCTACTTGCCTTAGTGTTACAGTTCATGTGCCTGTAGGGAATATGTCTGGTGGGTTTGAAAATGCTAGATTAATTGTCAGAATGGGTTTCTACTTTGCACTTTACCATGCGTTGGTGTTCTTGAGAAAAATATTTGTTTAAAAAAAATATTTGCTGTGTTTGTGAGATGCGAGAAGTCTGTTTTGATTGCTCTATCTGCTGTTTTTAACTTGCTGTTTTTAACTTGCTGTATTTGCCGTTTTATTTTGTGATGGAAAATATAATAACAATTTTCATTGTTACAAGAAAACCCAGTACGTACTGTAGATTGCTTCTATAAAATAACACGGAACACTGGATAATTCCCAAGTCCACAAACAATTTAATTGTCCACAGCTCATTTGTCATCACCTCTGGTGCTTCATAGAATCCATTTCTGTGCGCAAGGTCACATTATTAATTATGCAGCTGTGCGTGTTGATATCTTTACTCAGCATATATCTTGTGCTTGCCTTGGTGACATATATCTGTGTTAAACTGTTGAAAATGTATTTTCTGCTTGTTCATTGTAAGTGCCTGTCATCAAAGTATAACATATAATCTGATTATAACTGGCAGGTATTGTAGATACTGTAGTTCCTAAAAACTTAACACAGCCAGGGTGCAATGGAACAATCTGTTGAAATGTAGAATCCTATGTCTAACCAGTGACATGAAAAATATAAAGTCTTGTCTAATATTATTTCATTGCCTGTGTTGATCATGTTTTTTTCTGTTGGTTTTATAGTGCGACAGTCAAGTGTTTTTAAGCTATACAGTGTATTGCTACAATAAAAACTGGTTAAAAATAGTATATGCATGATTTGACTTATTTCTGTTTGATTTTCAAATGTTTTCATCGGTAAAATTGTATGAAAGAGTGCCTACAGATAAACTCCTCATAACTGCACCTCTCTACTTCTCTCCCTTTAGCTTTATCCCAGCAATGATCCATGCAACTTCCTGTTATCCGCAACCCAATATTCCTGTTATCTGCTAATGTGCTGTCCAGAAGTAGAGGCAAATTTATCCTGTTATTTGCACGCAATGTTATATTGTAATTGTATAGCTATTGTCAATAAATGAAAAATTTAGTTTTACAGAGAATGATTTGACTAATAAAGGGTCATAGATATCAAAGTATATAGTACTTTCATATCAAATCAAGAAAGTATATAGTATTCCCTTTGACATTATGTATGTCATACATATGTCTGAATGTGTATGTTGGTGATTGCGGTAAATATCAATCACGATATTTTAAATATATATAGATGACTACATTTCGATTCATTACATGGTAGCATGTGCATAGTTGACCCAGGCATACTTATAAATATGAAATAGTGATTGATATTTACTGAAATCGCCAACATACATATTGAGACGGATGCATGAGTGTAACATCTGGCCAGCCAGCATATAGCACACCCAGTCCTTGGGAATGGTATTTAAATTAAGATGCTGGGTTTAGATAATAATCATGCGGTGCATGTGGATCAGAGTGTAATTTACATGCAATACAAGCAAACATGCATGACACTCATCTGCTACCCTGTGGGAATGTAATTTTTTCAGTTTTTAATTAAGTGGCAGCAAATAGACCTCCGCGGAATCAGATGTGAAATTTAATTGCTCCATATTTTTTTTTAAATCTGCAAGCAAGCACTGGTGTTTGAAATAGAAATATATATTAACTGTAAATTTTAACAGGGTTTCCGAGCAAGGATGGTTTGGTGATCTTATGACTTCAAGCTATTAATGCAGATATCCCTGATTTTTTTCAAAATATAAAAACAAAAATACATTTTATACAAGCTGGAAACACATTCTACCATGGAATGTTCTATTGCATTCCATGATTGTGAAAGTTTACAGCCCTTTCTCAATCCACTGCTAGCTAAAGGCCTCCACTGCTGTGTCGGTCATAGGCAATGCTTTACTATACTTAACTGTGCTGGGTGGGTTGTTGACGGCAGAATACAGAGCAGTCAAGGACCGATTCAAATATTACTGATATTAGCCATGGCTGGGAATCGAACTCAGGTTTTCAAGCTCACAGCACAGTACACAAGCCACTGCACGAACACTCAAACTTTATTTATCTTATTATTTTATAGAAGTATTATATGACACACTCAAAAAGTCAAAGTGTAATCCCACTCAAATGAGCACTGGATGATTTTCAGCTTCACTTGGCTGCCCTTGAGTCACTGCACTCATTTTATCCACCATGGAGGGATGATGAGCTGAGCTGAACACAACTGGGATATTAACTCAACCTTGCAAATGTCCGATGAGCATACTCTTTGGTTCTATTTGGTAAAGTCACGTAAAAAAACAACAACAAAACTAAAAAAATCACGACGTTTTGTTGTGGCCGAAACGTCGTGAATTTTTATTTTGTTGTTGTTTTTACGTGACTTTACCGAATAGAACCAAAGTATGGATCCTTGCAGTCACGAAAGCTTTAAATCTAGAGTCCGATGAGCACTCCAACCACGAGACCACCTGTGATAATAATCCTCATCCTATACCCATATAATGTCCAAGAGCAATGTGTTTAGTATTAATTTAGTATTTAGTATTAATTTAGTATTAATTTAATTTGGATTGTTGACAACCCATCATCTTCTTCTAGTGTTGATAAAATGAGGACAACTTTGTGAGGAAGTCAACAGTGATGTTCCTATGGATATACTCGCCCCCACCATAGGCACGTGGAATATATATTACTGGCTAAGGGCTGTAGACACCAGATAAGCACCACGTCAGTGCTCACTTTGACTAAAATCAAAATTGTGCTGTGAAAAAGTATCACATTGTGAAGGGTGCCTAATAAGTGCTAATTATGATTATGCGTGATTTTTTGCTGCAAATACAAAACGCAAACTGATCAGCAAAAAAATTCAGTTGTGGGTAACATGTACATGTTCACAACTAATTTGAGTATGAGTGTGTGATTGGAATCCGTGGTATCTGTCTGGTATCCTAGCTGTAAGAACAGGGATAGGTATGAGACAACAGCTGTGCATTCTTACCAGCAACATGAAACACATTCCTACAAAAGTGGCAACCACAGTGGCAAAACCCATACCACTTAAAAATCAAATTCAAGTCTTCCACCAAATTACACGTCTCAATGGCACTGAGATCTGAGTGAGATCGGGAAAATTAAAGTATACGAGTGTTTTTTGCTAACTTTCCAAGGAAAATGTTTGGTTCAAATATAGTCAAGTCAAATGTATAGTGTTTGCCTACTCAAGCGAGCAATGGGGAAACACTCGTATCCCGTATAGGGTGGTGTGGTTGTGCTTTGTATCTCCAATGTTTCTGGGTTTTACTGCGTATTTTTCGGTTTGATGGCCAACGTTTCCCTTTAAATGCTGAAGGCTTCTTTAAGAATGCTGTTCAAAAGCTGAACCCTGAAGAAGCTTGCAGAATCTGGAGCGATACGTTAGACATGCCGAAAAATACGTGGTACAACCTGAACACATCAAATAGTTCATCTTCTTTGGTTCTTTCGGTAAAGTCACGTAGAATGAGAATAAAATAATAAATTGATAAAATAAAATAACACAATAATATTCTCACGACGTTTCGGCCACAACACAAGCGGCCTTCATCAGGTGAAGGGGCGAGACTCTCTGGTAGGACAGCGCTGGAGTGTCCTACCAGACAGACACCAGATAAGCACCACGTCAGTGCTCACTTTGACTAAAATCAAAATTGTGCTGTGAAAAAGTATCACATTGTGAAGGGTGCCTAATAAGTGCTAATTATGATTATGCGTGATTTTTTGCTGCAAATACAAAACGCAAACTGATCAGCAAAAAAATTCAGTTGTGGGTAACATGTACATGTTCACAACTAATTTGAGTATGAGTGTGTGATTGGAATCCGTGGTATCTGTCTGGTATCCTAGCTGTAAGAACAGGGATAGGTATGAGACAACAGCTGTGCATTCTTACCAGCAACATGAAACACATTCCTACAAAAGTGGCAACCACAGTGGCAAAACCCATACCACTTAAAAATCAAATTCAAGTCTTCCACCAAATTACACGTCTCAATGGCACTGAGATCTGAGTGAGATCGGGAAAATTAAAGTATACGAGTGTTTTTTGCTAACTTTCCAAGGAAAATGTTTGGTTCAAATATAGTCAAGTCAAATGTATAGTGTTTGCCTACTCAAGCGAGCAATGGGGAAACACTCGTATCCCGTATAGGGTGGTGTGGTTGTGCTTTGTATCTCCAATGTTTCTGGGTTTTACTGCGTATTTTTCGGTTTGATGGCCAACGTTTCCCTTTAAATGCTGAAGGCTTCTTTAAGAATGCTGTTCAAAAGCTGAACCCTGAAGAAGCTTGCAGAATCTGGAGCGATACGTTAGACATGCCGAAAAACACGTGGTACAACCTGAACACATCAAATAGTTCATCTTCTTTGGTTCTTTCGGTAAAGTCACGTAGAATGAGAATAAAATAATAAATTGATAAAATAAAATAACACAATAATATTCTCACGACGTTTCGGCCACAACACAAGCGGCCTTCATCAGGTGAAGGGGCGAGACTGTCTGGTAGGACACTCCAGCGCTGTCCTACCAGAGAGTCTCGCCCCTTCACCTGATGAAGGCCGCTTGTGTTGTGGCCGAAACGTCGTGAGAATATTATTGTGTTATTTTATTTTATCAATTTATTATTTTATTCTCATTCTACGTGACTTTACCGAAAGAACCAAAGAAGATGAATCATTGCAGTCACGAAAGCTTTAAATCGAAATTTACATCAAATAGTTCTGATCTTCGTTGGCAGCCCTAATCCAGCTGTGGCATTTTCTCATTCTGAGGAAGTGCCTTTGTTGATTTTCATGAAAGTGGTACTTATTAGATCATCCTGCAGGTATCCTTGGCTGAGTTAACCCCCGACTAGGAGTTGAACTTGCACACCTTCCTAGTAGGAGTCAAGTGCTCTTACCACAGCACTGCACGGCCATTGGGTTTTAGGATTGTGAGAGCTCAGCGAACTTTATAAAAGCTAACCGATAAATCTGTCAAAACAAATAAATGTCTTTACTCACAATATTTCTCGATAAATAACTTATGGAGTCCATGTTTGTCTCAGTACAATTAATTATTGCACCCCGTGGTCCTGCAATGTCCTCACTTGGGTTTCAGCCTTTAATAAGCAAACTACGAATGAATATTAACAATTCTCAGAATGAACTGCACAAACAACATATGCGCTGGAGGCCCATTGATCGTTTTCACGATTTCCAATTTGACACCATTTTACATGTACACGTTACAACATTACAGTATTTTATGTTATACTAGCTAAACTACCCGGCTTCGCCCGGGACTTGGATTCACCACGCCTGGCCGCCTTTGTCCCCCCCAGTGGCGATGTTGACACACCACACCAGTTACTCGTTTGAGGCTGAGTCGACCTAGGGGAGGTCCAGGACCGGTTGTAATAATCGTCACCGGTATTGGCCGTGAGCGGGAATCGAACTCGGGTCGCCGGGTTCGTAGCGCAGCGTAGCGCTAACCACTACACTACCGCTCCCCCCACACAAAGACAAAGATCCCCCATATAGACTGTAGGGGCAAGTGCTGTTATCGAGCACCTATGAAGGCAGGAACGGTACTCGAGAGGGGTGGGTGGCCAGCACCACGCTCGACGGCCTTTGTTTCCCCAGTGGCGATGTTCACACACCACACTACTTACTCGTTTGAGGCTGAGTCGACCTATGGGAGGCCCAGGAGTGGTTAAAATAATTGTCACCGGTGGTGGCCGTGAGCGGGAATCG